TGCAGTTTTTAGATTTTTACACACCAGCAGGAACAGGCGGCTGTGAACCAAATGAGCTTCATATTTGTAAAAATGATAAACACCACCCGTTACACCAGGCTCTGCAGAGCAGGTGTAATTTGCTGTAACATAACTTTAGTTTGCTTTTTTTATTATATATTTCTACATTATCTTAACATTGTTTTTTGACCAAAGCCAGAGGATCACACAAACAAAGGGTTAACAACTCCCACATGCTGTTTAATGACTTGATAATAAACCTTTGGTTTGATGCAGTATGGGCCGATGTCCAATACACAAACAAACAAACACAAATATCGTTAAACAATGTCAAGTGGTTGTGAAGAAGCGGGGCTGGGACTAAATTGTAAATTGTGTACTTTTAAAAGAAAAAGGAAAAAAAAAACTCTCTTCATTGTTCTGTCGCTGGCACTGAGCCTCAGTCATAGGAAACCAGTGTAATTTAGTCTGAAATAATGAAATGTCAAAGATTTCTTTGTGTAAAGAAAAGGAGCAGCTCTCTGTATAATGACAGTTCCTCCTTCTGGCTTCTGTCTGCTGTTAATATTATTGATTTGAATCCAAACTGCATGTGTGATTGTGTGAAGTGTTAATGAGAGAGAAAGAGGTTGATTTGGTTGCATGGTCTCTTCCATCTCTGCTCCTCGGCTCCCAGGCTATTTAAGAATCTGTACCTACGGCTGGCTTCTTATTGTTTTGTTTTTTTTATTATTTTGTTTTTTAATCAATCCCAGTTTGTTCTAGTGTTGAAATGATTGGTGGGAGACCAAACTCTCTCTCTGTATCCCTTTGTACTATTGTGTTTTCTTATCCTTTTCCGCTCTTTTTGCAGTTGAAAGGACTCTGGGCAACAACAACCCTTGTTTTTTTTAATTATTATTAATAATAATTATTATTATTTTTAGATTCCAATAAAGTGTTTGAGAATAAAGTCAATGCTGCACCAACCTGCAGCCATTACCCCCAAAGCCTGTCGTCTCTAGTGTTTTATCTACACCATCTAACCATCATTCCACATTCTGCAGCAGAGCTGAGTTTTTTTTTTAAAGTTTGGTGAAATTACTTTATTTTTATTGTATTACGTAAAATATTATTGTGTTGACTCTATTGTAATGTAGTAAATGTAAAAATACGGCAGTAAAATGTATAGCTTTGTATAAACCATGAAGTGAATGTTAAAGGGACTTCATTTGTCCTCACATGGACCCGTAGCTGCACACAAATATAACCAGCAGTTATATATGTATATTATCATGTAATTATATATCCATATCCAGAGTTGGTGGTAGTTCATGTGTCTCTGTGCTTGAATTATACCGACAGTCATTTTGTTTGGTCATAGGGTAAACACTGCCCCCTAACGGAAATAATAATACCTACACAAATGGCCTTTTGCTATGTAAATTGTCATTGTGATTCATTCATCCTGGGGAGCTGCTATTACAGACATATTTTAGGCTCGTTCTCTTAATTGAATAACATATGTCTAGGCTAAATAAACTGTACTAAAACCCATGGAAATGGATTTCCTACAGTCAGTCAGAGCACGACTACAGTGACAGTCAGTCTGTCTCTACAGAGGTGGTCTTTTACAACTCTGACAGTCTGACAGTCTGCTGCTGTTTTCACTGCAACTGTATAAGTAGGCGTGCATTATTTGTGCCTTTTATGACTCAACCCAGCACCACATCCTTGATAAAGTCACACTGTTCTTTTGGCATTTTGCTGGTGTGTGTTTATCTGTTGCCTTGTTAAAAAAAAAAAAAAATCCCAATAGTTGAGTCATAACAGACCGAGCTGTAAATCTAACCCTCGGTGCTGGGTAGCATTCAGCGGTCGTCAGAATGACCAGTGAAATCCAACACAGTGAGAAGACGCTGTGTTGGAGCCAAATCTGACCAAGCAGTGACACAGAGATGATTCACCAGAGTCCCAGAGAGGAGACGGCTGTAAAAGAGGACCACAGGTCAAAGTACAACAGGAGCAACATCATGTGTAAATAAGACCTTACTGTGTGGACCAGTGATGTGTGGACCAGTGATGTGTGGACCAGTGATGTGTGGACCAGTGATGTGAAATACAATGGTTTTGGCAAATTTAATGATGAAAAACAAGCACGTAGTAAATTTCTGTAACTATCCATTTCTGTAAGTTTACATTTTAAATTTCAGTGAAATAGAAATTAGATGTGGGAGAATTAAAAAAAAAAATTTGACAATAAGTTGTAATTATTAATATTAAATGTACACATTTTCTAAAGGTTTATTATTAAACCCAAAGATTTTTTTCTGCTTAGTATTTATTTTTAATGTCTTTAAAAAAATCTCATTCACAACAATTTCATTCACAGATGATGGTTCTTGTACAAAACGCTTCTGAAACAGTACAAATATATGTATAAAACGGTATTTCTTTAAGTAAAAGATTATATAAAAGTCTTTGAGTATTATCTGCTAACAACTACGTGGACAATAGGAAGAGATGCTAACGAATCTTTTTCTCCAGTGCTGTGGGCGGTCGGGTGGAAATCTTCTCCGGGAGCACCAGCCTCAGCTTCCTCCTGGGGGAGGATCCTCCTTCCTCTGAAATGAACTCCTGCTGCAGCAGTGGAGGAGCTGCAGTGGCTTCATTAGCACCACCTGCTGACGGTTCAGTCTGCACGGACGCAACAGGTACAGACACACTTCCTGCCTCCACGCCGTTTGCAGACGCCGCCGCCGCCGCCGCCGCTCCCTCGGTTTGAAGCACATTCTCATTGACTGCTGGTTTGTTCCCAGTCTCTGACTTGCTTGTACCTGCTGACGTAACGTCCACTCTGGGCTCTGAACCAATGGTCTGAGGTGGAACACCAGGTGAACTCTCTGTAGTCGGTGCTGCCTGTGTCTGCTGAGGGAGGTTCTCTTTGGTTTTAGGGAGCTGGACTTCAGCAGGTCTTTGAGAAGGTCCCTCCACAGCCTGAGGTCCTGAGTGATGGGCTGCCAGAGGAGCGCTCTCTGATGCCGTCTGGCTGTGAGGTTGAGGTAGGGATGGGTTGGTGGGTGCAGGGTTGTTGACTGTGTTAGCAGCAGGGTTCATTGGAAGTGCGCCACCTTGAGTCTGTAAACCTCTCGCTTGCAGAGAGTCAGACTGTGCAGCAGCAGCAGGGGGTGGTAGACCAACCCCGGGTGGTCTGCTGAGACCGCTGTGACCAGTATTCAAAGCCACCTTTGGTGCATTGATGGCTGTTCCCAGGGCCACAGATGAGGCTCCAGGGATCAGAGCAGGAGCCGCTGGAGCCACGGTGTTCAGGAGAGCATTACTGCCTGGAAGAGGAAGGCTGTAGCCGGTCAGACGAGGGTCAGCAGAACCCAGCAAAGAAAACTTTGTCCCAGGTTGATTTGCAGTTCTCAGAACCATTCCAGCCTGCTGGTACTGCATTCTACCACTGAGAATACTTTGGCCCTGCCCGTTGGTAAATACTAGACTTGCAGCATTAGGATTATGGGTGAGCTGAGCAGGTTGTGAGGAGCCTGGATCCACGTTCTCCGCCTGAGAACCTGCAGCATCTCCTTGTCCTTCTTGCTCACCGTTCTTCCTGGACTCCTTGTCTTTTTCTTTCCCCTCCTGTTTTTTCTCTTTACTCTTCTTGGAACTCTTGCCCTGATCGTTTTTCTTCTTTGGCTGGACTTTGTTTTTCCTCAGAGGGCTTAAGTTCAGTTTAACTCTCAGTTGTTTCTTCTTTCTTTCCTTTTCTCTGTCTCTGCTCTTCACCTTCTTCTCCCTCCGGCGCTCCTCTCCGGTGTGTTCTTGTTCGAGGTTGAAGGACTCCAGATCAAAGGTCACATTTCGCGACTCTCTTCTCAAGTCTTGGCTCTTCATTTGATCCAGGCGTTTGTGGAAATCGTTGCGATCCCTGTCAGTGACTCTGTGATGCTGAGGAAACCCATCCATCACAGCGGGCTCTCTCATGCCAGGTCTCATGGAATGTTCCGGCGCTTTGTTTGTTCTTTGGAGACTCTCGTTGTGTGACGTCTCATGTCCATGACCTCTGCCCTCAGATTTACTCCTGTAGTAGGTGTTTCTGTCTGTTCTGTGTGCCTGTGTGCTCTCTGGTCTGTCTCTCCTGGGATAAAGAGAGGAGTTACCGTGAGGAGGAGGAGGAGGCCTGTGAATTCTCCCATTCTCCAGTTCCACCTCGTCCTCCGTCCTCCTGTTCCCTCTCACATGATTGGACCATTGTCCCCTGGCGTGACAGTCTGGACACTTAAAATGGCCATCGTCCTCCACCATGTGGGACCTTGAATGGTCACCGCGGTCCATCATCACACCTTCACCATCAAATGTCGGATTTCTCCGGAAATTCCTCCTCTTCTCGTTGATATCTGGGTGGCCGACATGGTTGCCTATCACAGTGGTGGGGCCTTCCTCTTTTTCCTTCTGCGCTCTGCTTTTTTTCTGCTGCTTTCTGCGAGACACGCGGTTATAAATCAGGACGGCCAGGAGAGTCAAAGCAATTCCACCTGAAGCACAGAAAAAGACAGTAGTGACAGTTGGTATTTAAAGGTCCTCCAACTTTTATTTTTAACAAACCATTACTGTCACTTCTTCATAACATAACAAACATAACATCACAAGGTCCCTCTGAAAAAACAACAACATTAAATTCAAATACTAATGAAATGTTTTCACTCACCACAAAAGCAGATAACCCCAGTGATGGCCAGATCCCGGGTGTACGACTGTGGCATCACACTGCTTCACACCGTCGGTGTCTGTAGTCTGACGTCTGTCTGGTCGGGGACGCTGCTGACCTCACTCAGCACCAGCATCGTGGTTACGCCCAGGTTGCCGGTTACGTTGGCGTGAGCAGGAGTCAGAGGTATCAGGTGAATCTGTGTCACAGCAGAGTGTGTTTTTGCTTTGACTCCAAGTGTGATTTTGTTGTGAACGTACAAAACAAAACCTAGACACAGACGGTGGGATACAGACTGTGACGTTTGTCGGTATCCAAGAAACAAAACACAGAAGGAGCAGCTGCCTGATGGAACGTGAGGGACGTGAGTGACGGCAGTGGCTGCAAAAGTTACAATAATATTTTTTTTAAAAACTGCATGAAATAAATCCTTCAAAAATCCGTTTACGAAAGAGAAAAAAGATCAGGGTGCTGATCTATTATTCTAGATCCTTGATGTAGAGTACTGATTCACAGAGCATCATTCTGCCTCACCCGGTGTTACAGTAGGAGAAGACAGTAATTAAGTATTTATTATTGCTGATTAGTGTGTGTGTGTGTATAGTTTCCTCTCAGAGGAATCCAGTAGTGACAGCCACATAAACCCTGTTATGTCTAATCCCTGTTTTCCTAACGATTCCCACACTGCTATTTTCCACACATGCGTTACTCCACGGTGTTCTGCTGTTACAGATCTTACAGAGTTAACTGACAACCAGAGCTGCAGCCAATCCCAGCTGACGTTGGGTTAAGGTGAGCTTACACCCTGGACAGGTCACCGCTCCACCACAGGGACACACAGACACAGACCCTAGAAGCTAGTTTCCTTTCAGTCAACGTACACACACACACACAGGTCATGTTTAATACACACACAGATGTTTTACCTTCCTTTCTCCTGCTCCCTCTTCTGATACATTTAACTGCGTGGTTTAGTTGCTGTGAGGTTTTCTGCTGCGGTCGTTGGACGTTTGACTCCCACATCCTTGGGTGGTTGCTACAGTAGTGGAGCAGATGCCGTGAATATGTGTCTCTGGCTTAGGTTACCTGACCGCGTCTGGAGGCTGCGCAGTTCAGCTGTCCGTCACCTGATAGTTACCCACGTCACGTCTGACCAACTGTCGACACACAAGTCTCTGACTCACGCTACTAACGACAAATGGATTTTATTATTTAAAAAGCCAAATCAATAAATAATTAATAAAACAATGATTACAGTGTTATTTATTGTAAGTGTGGGTCACACAAATACAGCCAGCAATTATTGAGCCAGTTCTTTTGTTTTCAGGAATTCTTCTCTTCTTATGGCAGGAGGACCATTTTTCCCGCTGCTCCAGGAGACTCGATGATATCATGGTGAGCCTGAGAGGCTTTGTCAAGTGGGTATTGTTGACCAACGACTGGACGCAGCCAGCCAGCTTCCATTCCTGCGTAGATAAACGCTGCACTCTCCTTCTTCTCCTCCTGCAGGAAGTGAATCAGTAATCTTACAGCTGCATCGAAAGGTTTTATTGGTTTTTTGACAAAAAGGTCTTTTGACTGCTCATATGAAAATTTCATTTCAGATATAATTCTTAAGCATTTTTTAAAAACTGTAACATTTAAGAGATAAATGTTTTTTTTCTCACAAACTTAAACTCTGGTTTTGTACCATTGTCGCATGGAAAAGAGCCACTCCTGTGATGCTGCTCTCTTTCGCCATGGTGTCTCTGGGGTTGATCTCCACAGTGCCCCTGCAGCCAACAACCTGGAAAATGAACAGAATTGACAAACCAGGATCTGTGCAGAAATGAAGCATTCTATACAGTTTCAAAGAGACTTTACAGAGCTACTGACCATCACACGTCCTCCATATGCCAGCATCTGGAGGTCTTTGCTCAGATTGATGTTTGACAGCATCTCCACTACCACATCAACACCTCTGCCCCCTGTGGCCTCCTGGAACAAACACATGCAGTCATCAACTCCACATGGATGGACGCCCCTAAATATGACGTGATGATATGATCATAGAGGAGTGTCTGCTGTACCAGGATTTTCTCGGTGTATCCCTCTTCTCTGTGATTGAATACCACGTGGGCCCCATTGTTCAAGACCAGCTTCATTCCTTCTGCCGTCCCTGCTGTTCCCAACACCTTCAGACCGAGGGCACGGGACAACTGGCATGCAGCAACGCCCACCTACGAAACATGCAACCATGGGCACAATTAGGATGGATGAATCTTTGAAGATATGTTTAAACTTTAAAAAGAAAATAAATCAAATTTCACCCCTCCACTTGCTCCATGGATGAGAACAGTCTCTCCAGCCTTGGAGCGGCCTCTGCAACACAGTCCACAGCAGAGCAAGAGGCTTCCTTTAATACTAAGTCTTTATAACTGCTTAGCTGTAAGTTAATAAATAAGTAAGTACAAAAATGATATAATTAAAACAAAAACATGAGGTCACTGCCCCTCAAAAAGGTCTTACTTCTGAATCAGAGCTCTGTGGGCAGTGAAGTAAGGGATGCCTACGGCTGCTCCCTGTGTGAAATCTAAGGCATCAGGCAGTTTGTGAACAGACTCGTCTGCTGCCACAGTGAACTCTGCATAAGCTCCCGATTCGGTGGCTGTGGTGAAGACACGATCTCCTGCCTGAGAGGGGGGAAAACACAGTTTCTCTGCACATTTCATTGTAAAAAAAGTTGTTTACTGTATCCACGAGTGTTAGTGTTCTCAGACCTTGACTGAAACCACTCCTTCTCCAACATTCTCCACCACTCCAGCTACATCTGTGCCTGGTGTATATGGCAGGGTGGGCTTACGGCTGTACACCCCAGCACGGATGTAGGTTTCCACAGGGTTCACACCACAGGCATGGACACGAATCAACACCTACAACAGAAATGAATTGAGAAAGAGACAAATTCAGCATTTATTACTGACAAAGAGAAAAGAAATGATAAATAATTACTAATAATCAGGTGTCACGAATGTGCACTTATTTACCACTTTTACTTAAACTTACTGTTTTAATTCAGGTTTTTAACAATCATATACTAACGTTAGATACACATATCGAAGGGCAAACCTTATATAATTTATTATTGCATTTATTTTAAAACTATTCTGTTAACGACCACCTGTCCTGTCCAGTACGGTCCACCGGTTCTACAGCAGCCACTCCTCACCTGTCTGTGTCCAGGCTGGGGCACGGGGACATCAGAGCACAGTTTTAGGACGGACGGAGCTCCAAACTCACTCACTCTGATGGCCCTCATCACCAACCGGCTGCTGCCGCTCGCCATCTTTGTCATTTTATCCCAAAAGCAGAAATAATAACTTCCACAACAAAGTTGCTTATGCCCTCGACTCTGTCCGCTGATGTGTAACAGCGCCACTGACTGGCTGGAGGTATGTACTTACACAACGTTCAAATTACATGCTTAAAATTGTTTAAGTGTCACATTATAGAGGCAGAAACGAGAGTGACATGAACATGGCAGCAGTAAAGAACAAAAATATTTTACAATCTGTATGGTATTTGTATATATTTTTTTCCACAAACCAATCAACGTGACATATTTTACCACTTGAGGGCGGTAATATGTTGGTATTATGTTCTCGCAACCCACCGAAAAAGAAACGGGTAACTGTTATTAGCAGTGAGCTAATTTGTAAGATATGCGTTGTAGCTTTGACTAGTGGTACGGGGAAGAGCCCGTCCACATAATCTATAATGTGTAGGCGCCGGTTTATGACGCAGACATTGCGGAAATATGATCACAGAAGTAGCAGTAAAGTCAACTTGTGTGGTGACATGTGTATTTAATTGTTGTGTCGTTGAAACGTGAAAATCTACCCGACCGTTTTCTGCTTGTGACCGTATATTGATGTGGGCGTCAGCTTTAAAAGCTCGCTCTCTGTGTTTCCCGCTGTTGTGAGCATGGCTTCACAGAGCCGGCTGGCTTTGCAGAGGTTGTTGGGTCCGCTGTTGCTCAGCAGGATCGGAGCTGTCAGTGGCCGCTACCACAACTCCATACACCGCTGCGGTCAGTGGAGCCACGGAGGAGCTGCAGTGAGACAACTGAGCTGCTCATTCTCACTGTGCAAGCCTGACACAGCCTCAGTCGGTAAGACACAAATTGCAATATCAGAAAACAAAAAGCCAGAAACTATATTATTGAAACTTGTTGCAAGAGAATCCATTCCCAGTTGCTCAGCAAAATACTAGGTTTTGACTAAAATAATGCAAGATTCTTTGATTAAGTTAGAATATTCAGAAAATGAAAATGTTACTCATTTCATGGCCTCTATTAAAGCACATTAAAAGTATTTATGTATTTGTCCTTTATTGTATATACAACAGGACTATAGGATTGCCATATACTTTATTCATATTCTGTGCATCTTTGTCCCAGGTCCCAGTAGCTGGTCATTCAGGAGTCACACGTGTGGAGAGCTGAGAGCAGATCATGTGGGAGATACAGTGACACTGTGTGGCTGGGTTCAGTACCTCAGGTACAACTTCAAGGGCCCACACATCCTTTCTAAATGATGAAATCACGTGACAGTAATGTTAAATGCATACCCAAAATGTTCATCTTTATTCATTGTTATATTTTAACTTTTTTTTTCTGCGTTTAACAGACATGACCTGTTTGTCATCATGAGAGATTACAGTGGCCTGACACAAATTGTAATCCCACAAGAAGAGGTGAAAATGAGAACGTTTATTACTACACAATCACATTATAGTTTTAACTATTATATATTATTTATATTGACAGTGTTGACACTTTTTCCAATACAGAAAAGAGAGGGATATTAATGTTAAACATTAAAAATGAATGCTATATAATTAAGATTTGGTTTTTTTTAGACTGCCAACCATTTGAAAGCAGTGCAGTGTAATCTCACAACTGAGTCTGTCATCAAAGTCACAGGGACAGTCAGAAGACGTCCACCAGGACAAAACAACAAGGTAACAACATGTCCACATAGCAATTCCAGGTTGCTGTAAAATTTGTATCCTAGTCACTTGATTAATAGCATTAGCGTGTATATGAATTTGTCTCACTGAGCCTGTCCATGCCCACAGATGATGCCGACAGGAGAAATAGAGGTCCTGGCTGAGAACGTGGAGGTTTTAAATGTGTGCCGCAAGTTACCTTTTGAAATGAAAGACTTTGTCAAAGTAGGTGTTGTGTTGGATGATGTGTGTTTTCATTTTAGTGATGTTGCATTTATTTATTTATTTAATACTAAGTGTTATTGTTTGTGTACTTCACCGAGCAGAAGTCGGAAACTTTGCGGATGCAGTATCGCTACCTGGACCTGAGGTCCTCTCAGATGCAGGGAAACCTCAGACTAAGATCTCAGCTGGTGATGAAGATGAGGGAGTACCTAACCAACATACATGGTATGAAACAGACTTTGATTCTGTTACAGCAACACTCACACACGAAGAGGTGTAGATCAGCAACTGCATCAAAAGGAGAAAATAGTTCTAGAACCACGGAGCAGTAATCCTCACCTCTGACTATACTGAATATGATCTGGACTCATTGTATGTTTTCCTCATATGTAGGTTTTGTTGATGTGGAAACTCCCACCTTGTTTAAAAGAACACCCGGGGTAAGAAAACTGATCTGTGTTTCATATACTTAAAGGGTTAGTTACTAATTTATCATCTTCAGGAATAATACAAAATCTTAAAAACACGGAAACAGCATTAAATATGATTTTTATTTAAAGAAGACAAAGGTGACACATAATTTATAATTCCAGATTGTGTTCTACATGAAATTAGGAAAAACTGCATCTTCAAATGAAGGTTTCATGTAATTTAAATAAACTTGTTGTTTTACAATCAAAGCCTGACGTATGGGTAATGGAAATTGCTTCCCTGTGTTCCAGGGAGCTAAAGAGTTTTTGGTTCCTTCCAGAGAGCCGGGCCGGTTCTTTTCTCTGCCCCAGAGTCCGCAGCAGTTCAAACAGCTGCTGATGGTCGCTGGTATAGACAGGTGGGAACAGTGTTAAACCTAAGGAAATGTTCTTAATATGTGCATTATTATCTAGTGTTATCTATCTATTACCAGAACATAAGAACCTTTTCTTTTTTAAACTCTGTTCTTCCCACGAAGTTCAAAAACATTATTTCAATCAACGCAGTCTATTTATTAAATGTTCTCAGCCTGATGACAGATTTCTCACTAGTGCTGTATTAATGTCATCATGATCTTTTATTGTGACTGTACCAGGTATTTCCAGATGGCTCGATGCTATAGAGATGAAGGCTCCAAACCAGACCGACAGCCTGAATTCACACAGGTGAAACACTTAGACTGTACTAATACGTCTTCACATACTACTTTATTTCTCCAGTTTTATCCAACTACTTCTGGTCTAAAGCCTTGTTTATCATACATTGAGTGAGTAATTTTATCATCATGTCTCCTAGGTGGACATTGAGATGTCTTTTGTGGACCAGGCAGGTATCATGTCCCTGGTGGAGGGAATGTTAAAACACTCCTGGCCCACAGAGAAAGGTCCACTTGAGATTCCCTTTCAGACCATGACGTATGAAGAAGCCATGAGGGACTATGGTGTCGACAAACCTGATACTAGGTTTGATATGAAAGTGAGTGACTGTTCTTCTTCTACTTGTCCGACTGAATCATAGCCATTTGTAGGAGGGAATATTATGGCTGTAATTTATGTTCAGGTGAGTGTGTGCGTCCCGTTATTTGAATCTTATCTTTTTTTCTCTTTCCAGTTAATTGACCTCAGAGAGGTTTTCTCATCCACTAAAGTTGAGTTTCTGAGATCAGCCCTCAGTTGTCCACAAGGCTGCGTTCAGGCCATTTGTGTCCCTGAAGGAGCGGTAAGAAAACTGTTTACTGTAACCAAAATGTAAATGTTTGTATGTGTAAGAAACTTGTGAAGTAAAGAAGGAACATTATAATACTAGAAAAACAGGTCTGCTTATTTGATTTCTATCATCTGTCTGTTGACACAGGAATTTTTCTCAGGGAAAGACATGGAAGGACTGAAACAAATGGCCAAGACTCAGTTTGGTCAGGTATATTTATCTTTTCCAATTGGTTTTGTCTTTTTATAATATAATTGAAGTTTAAAAAACACCATTGATATTATTTTCTTACACAAGGCTTATTAGAACAAGATAAGTAACTCTCCATATGTTTTCTGTGTGTGTGTTTTCTGAAGGATCTCAGTCTAGTCCTGGTCAGAGGAGATGGGACGTTGAAGTCTCCTCTTAAAAATCATCTGTCTCTCACTGAAACAGAAGAGCTGCTAAAAAGAGTCGCAGCCAAACCCGGAGACCTGCTACTAATGGCTGCTGCTCCACTCAGTACTGTGGTAAAAGGATTATAGACACTGTTGGAAAGATTGAATCATCTGACTTTATATTGACTTAAATTGGTGCAGAAGCAGTGGGCTGCACACCACAGACAAGCAGACCAATTAACTAAACATTAATTGGTCTGCTTCTCCTTATCAACTAAACAAGGAGAAATCAACAGATTTTAACACATTGAAAACATGTCCAACTTTTAAACCACCCTCCACTATAACTACATCTGATCATGGACTATGGGAAGCATTTTATTTACTGAAGAGTTACTCTGTCACTTTTTTAAAATCCTATTCTTCTCTGTTGCTCACAGCGCCCACTACTGGGCAATCTCCGCTTGAGGTGTGCAGAGCTTCTAGAATCTCGTGGCGCCTCACCTCGAGACCTTTCTGCATTTCATTTCTTGTGGGTTGTAGACTTCCCTCTCTTCTTGCCCAAAGAGGGTGAGCCGGAGCAGCTGGAATCAGCTCACCATCCATTCACTGCTCCACTGCCTGAGCATGCACAGCTCCTCTACACGGAGCCACACAAGGTTAACAAGTGGAGCTGTTAAATATACTGTCAGTGCCTTTGTGTATGTGAAAATCAGCAAAAACCTTATTTTGATATTCCCAGGTACACGGCCAGCACTACGACCTGGTGCTGAATGGCTGTGAGATTGGTGGGGGTTCTATCCGTATCCACCAGTCGTCACAGCAGCTGTACGTCCTGAAGAATATCCTGAAGGTCAGTGACTGTCCATGGATCGAGGGCTTGGTTTTCTTCCAGTGTTTGCTGTAATTTGCTGTGTGTCTGCTGCAGGAGGATCCCAGTCTCCTCTCTCACCTACTGGAAGCACTTGACTCTGGAGCGCCACCACATGGAGGCATTGCTCTTGGTAAGGTGAAAACATAACATATAACTTTGTCTCACTGTCACTAGCATAGACATTTAAAGTACTTGTGACATGACATTTCAAAAGAAAAAGTCAAAAAATGTCATTTGTCCTTATTTCCCAGGCTTGGACCGACTAGTTTCCATCATGGTTGGGTCACCCAGCATCCGTGATGTCATTGCTTTCCCAAAGTCTTACCGAGGTCATGACCTTATGAGTGGAGCCCCTGACTTGGTCTCTGAGAAAGAGCTGAAGACTTACCACATTTCTATCACATGGCCAGTGGAGCGGGAGGGAGGGACTGAGGAGAGTAAATAAAAACACTGGATGTCACAGGAAGGGCAGATCTCCGCCTACCAAGAAAGAAAGAATAAATGCACTGACTTCACAGATTGCAGCTAAACCACAGGAGCAAAAACGCAGCCGGAGAAACACATCAGACCAGTGGTTTGTCTAAAATGAGTATATTCAACAGAAATATCAGTAATATTACAACATAATTAAAATAATGTGTACTATCACATTAAAGATGTTAATCAATGTCTTGACTGAAATTACTGTTGTGTTTGCATTAACTTGTCTTTATAATAGGCTTGTGAAAAGAGTTGTAATCTAAATGCATTTGTATAGTACATGATGACTTTATAATATATGTGAATATGGCTTTTTGTATTGGTTTTCATATAAATAAAAACTTTAAATGTGACGATCTTTGTGACGGTGCATGCTATCAAATATTAAATTCTGAAATATTAAAAGAAATAAACGTGGACGTATTCAGAAAATAAACACACTTAACGACTATAATAATAATAATAATTCATAATATAATTATACGAAGTAAAATATGAAAAACACAAACACCCGGATTGACGTTTGACCCGGAAGTGAAGCTGGAGACTATTGTGACCTCGGATGTAGAACGTACACGGCGCAGACTAAAGATGAGTGAACAGAAGAAGGCTTGTTCTTAAGTGGGATTCGACTCTCTCTACTATACGTATACACTCAAGATAAAACGGAATGTTCCTAAAAAACCCTCGGCGTTAACCGACTGTGTGAGTGAGTCAGTGAGTATAGGAGAGAAGGAAGGGGGCTGCGCTCGATTGACCTGTTTGACGGGTTCCCAGTACGTGTCGGTTTACTTCCCAGCTAAAATCTTTGTACAAACCAACAACGTTTGGCTACCTCGGTGGCCTGTGACAGCCACGTCAGCCGGACACAAGTCGCCTCATCGCGTTAAGAACATTCTGGGTTCGAACCTAAACTTGTGGGGCTCCTGCAGCAGCCATGTCTCCGATGGGTATCCGAGTGTCACCGCTCGGTTTGACGTTGTTTTGTCTCATCGCTGTCGGCGTCATTTACCACCTGTATTCCGGTGTCATCTCCAGTCGTCTGGCTGCTTTTGGGTTTGACTCATTATTGTTTGTTTTTATATTAAAAACACATTATAAAAGGCTAAAATACAAGTTAACAGAAAGGTTTGGCGCCACATTTCTTTTCTATGTCCCTTCCTGTCTGCAGGCAGACCAAAAAAGTGGACCTGAGAAACCTGGCAGCTGTCTCAGTGGAGGCAGCTGTACTTGGTGGCAGAGAGGTAAAACCATGATCATCCTGAACAACTAACTACCCTATTGTAATGGTGTCTTTGTTGGGTCACTAAGGAGTCTTAAATTAATTTCATGCAATTTGTGTGTTATGTCTGTTATTATGTCAACAAATACTGTATATGTAGTATTTGTTTAGCATTCAGACATCCTCCATTTTCTATGCATTTTATAATAAACATCATGGATTCAATAAGAAGTGGGTGGAGCTGTCTTATTGTATGGAACAGACCAAAAAGACTATGTTCACCAGGCTCTTAGTGAATGGCAAAAGCACATCCTTAATTTTCTACTCATAAATAAAATATTTATTTGTTTTACAAGTCAAAGGAAAAGTACCATAATATTATTCTTTAGTTACTTCTCATTATTGTAGGAGAGATGGTAGCAACTCCATGTTACAGTCTGTAGTGGTTTCTCACTAAACTGTTTATAGTTAAACTCTGGCTGACGTCAGTAAATGTTTGCCTCTTAGGTGAAGAGGATACGTGAAGAAGACAGTCTGAAGGAGCAGTCAAAGGGCAAAACAAAGGAAGGAGCCAATGAGCTTCTAACTATGGGCGACCTGCTGTCTCACAGGAAGATGTATAACCTCCTGAAGAACACCTACCCTGATCTGACGGTAGGCGTAACCACTGGATGAAAGAGATCCTGTACATGACATCACTGCTGCTTATTATTATATTAATTGCTTATACTCCTTATCATGTGTGTTCATGTGTGTGTGTGTGTTCAGGTATACAGTGAGGAACATGATAATGAGGTAGATAAGGATATAACCTGGAGCAATAATGTTCCGTTTGACATCAGAGCCAATATAGAGCTTGGCCATGAGGTTCCCGCTGATAGCGTCACAGTCTGGATCGACCCTCTCGATGCAACCCAGGAATATACAGGTGACATTTACATTCATTTTAGAAGACAGTATTTTACAGCAGGTAGATGAGGAGGTAGGAACCTGGAGGTAGATGAGGTAGAACTGAATTGTGGATCAGTGTTGGAGCTCATGCAGAGAAAACTATAAAGTTCAAAGTGTCTGTCTTTCCTCCCCTCTTCACTCCATTTTTCTCCTCTCCTCTCCTGTCCTTTCCTCTCCTATCACCTCCTCCCCTACACACCACCAGAATAGACAGATATAAAATAACCTAATGTGCATTTAAACACAGTAAATTGTTATTTCCTAGGATACCTGGAAAACAGAAGTAAACTGAAGTACTATTTCCAGTACTCTTTGCTTGCTTCCATTGTCATTGCAAACCTGATTACCTTGTTTGGTGTTTTTCCAAACCTAATATGAAACACACCTTACACTTAGAGAAAGATCTCTAAGTGTAGTTTAACTGGTCAGTTCAGTTACACATACACTGGCTTGTACGCTCAATTATACGATGTGTGCACTTCATTACCTCAGTCCTACCTTAGACACCTGCAGCTTTAGTCTTACCTCATATATTTGATACCCTGCAAATAATATGCAATTTTAAATAAATTAAATTTACTTACAGATTTGCATACTTTTATTTGTACTTTTGGTTTACGGTAAACTGCAGAAGCATGCTAACAATAGCACCCCCTGCAGGCACTGGAGGGTTTTTGTTCAATATAAGCAGTGATCAGGATTTCTGGTCATTGGGTGTTGGATGTTCAGATGTCAGTGACACATTGTTTCTGCCTCTGTCGAAACAGAAAACCTCATTAAGTACGTGACCACCATGGTGTGTGTAGCTGTGGATGGCAAACCAGTGATAGGAGTTGTCCACCAGCCGTTTACTGGCTTCACTGGTAAGCACAGTTTCATCTTATATAAACATGTAATGTAGTCATAGACAGAAATGTTTGCATTTTGTGTTGAAACAGTAGTGACTGTGAGCGAGCGCTTGTCTTTATCTGTCCTGTTAAACCCCCTCCAGCCTGGGCCATTGTTGGTATGGGGTCAAATGTCCATCCCAGATCGTCCTATAACATCCACCAGCCCAATGTGATTGTGTCACGTTCCCATTCTGGAGAAGTGAAAAATTATATACAAAATGCTTTCGGTGCCAACACGACTGTCACACCAGCAGGTGGTGCAGGTGAGTCGATGATTCTTTCGTAGCCCTTAAACTCTGAAAGTTAATTTGGTTTATTTCAAAGGATCAATGCCTCTCTTTCGCTCTCTCTCTCTCTCTCTCTGCAGGTTATAAGGTTCTGTCACTCCTCAACATGCCCTCCAATGAAGTAAACTCTGTAGATCAGGCAGATGTGTACGTCCACATCACCTTCATTAAAAAGTGGGACATTTGTGCTGGTGCAGCACTACTTGCTGCACTTGGTAAGTTTTTTCTAATAGGGGTTTACTTTTTGACTTCTCCTTCTGCAATTTAATTGTGTTTATTTATGCAAAGTAAATATTTTAATATTTACAAAACCAACTAGTAAGCACGTGCTGTATGAAGCATCCCTAAAAGAGCAACAACATGCCTGATAAACACTAGCAAACCCATTAAAAAAGAAAATTACATTACATTTGATTAAAATACTAATGCATGTATTTTGGTATTGAACTGCTAAGTGATGGTGATGTTTATGATTGTAGGAGGACAATTGACCACCCTGAAGGGCGATGCCATTGACTATAGTGGAACTGCACTCAACAAAGAAGGGCTGGTGGCCAGCGTGGGTTTGGACCACAGGGCCATCGTGTCCAAACTACCGGTCTGGGACCCTGAGAAGCACTAATGTCATGTGATCAAGCTTTGACAAGTGTCAGGCATTTCCTTTTCATCTTAGATCAGTGATCTAACATTTTCCATGACCTCATCAACATGGAACTGGACACTGAGCAGGACTGTGGAAAAGCCATAGCTGCAACAGGACACGGAAATGACTCTACACAGTTCTCTAATCCCCCTCCACACACACACACACACACACACGGCTAAGGCTTCATACTAACCTCCTTCTGTGTGTGCCTCTGTGTATTTCATCAGTATGTGGGTTCTTGGTTGGAGTTTTTGTCTGATACTTTCTTGGTACTTTGTTTTATTTGAGCTTTGGTTTGAACAGGTGTAATTTACTCTGATGAATAGTAATGGGTTAACTACACAGTGTGTAGTTGACATGGGTAAATGAGGCAGGTGATGATATTTAAGTCCTACAGCTTTCTGCAAACACTTGGCCCTGAAAATATGATCTGGAACAAAAATGTGGGATTATTTGCCTTTGTTGAACACACTTAAATGTACTGTACATACTCAAACATGAAAACAGGACTGGATGTCAAAGTATAATCCCGATTGTTTGCTCTGCAACACAAATATTGAAATAACTAGAGCAGACTGCACAGTGGACACAGAACATAATAATTATAAAAATTATTATAGTAATGCTCATAATGTGAAGCACAATACTGAATGTGAAAGTAAATAAGGTCTAACTGATACCATTATCACTACGAAATATATGAAGTCCAGTTTACATAACAAATGTCTTCCTTTCATTAAGTCACTGCCAGGTCAGATGAGCGCATCTCAGAAAACACACTGCTCTTCCTGAGGAAAAAAACACTCCTGCTCAACTTTCAACATTGGCATCTGTTGCATATCTTAGTGCGACATTTTTTGCATCCTATCAAAGTAAATGTTGATGTTTTTCAGAGCAGGTCCTACACTATGTTTTCCCTCTTAAACTGTTGGTGCATGATTTTTTTTCTGGACCTTAATACAGTGCAAGCTAAAAACAAAGATTTTTCTTGTACATGAATCACAGATTAGACCTAAGAACAGTACCACAGTACTGTACAGGGTTTGGGGTTGTTTATGTAGCAGTTTTGACCTACAGTATGTGCACTGTTTCCATCAAGCTACAGCTGGCACTCCCATTTATTTCGAGATGGAGCTATGTATGTTGTCACTGTACAAGTGTAGTTGCATGTTATATGTTTTTACTTGTCATTTACACAGCACCAACTACACTTATCTTAAACTTATTCTAAAGCAAATTTTACATTTTACTAGGAATTTATATTCTTTAAGAAACATTTTAGAGCAAATTCATAATTTTCACACTGCATTCGCCAGGATTCTTAAATAAATGTTTTCATCAACAGGTTGTTAAAATGGTCACGCACAGACAAATTGTCATTGTACCTGTTTTTGATGATCTGGGTAATTGCTGTACTGCAGTTAGGTGTTGTTAATGTAACATCGTATAAAGGGTCATTCCTACTTTTTACAGCTCATGTTTGATATTTAATTTTCTCCTTTTGTGTCTTTGATTGTTCTTGGTCTTTCTGTACAGTCTGCAGAACTGCAGAAAAAAGTTGGGCTTTTCATTTTGTTTAGAATTTATGATGGATTAAACTAATTTTCCTTAAGAAGTTTTATGTTTTATACTTTTTTTTTTGTTAATGTTAAAATAAATAATAAATAATGTAATTTCCACACATAATCTTTCAGTAGGTGGCGGTAATGCCACTTTTGACAGTTGCCAGCCACCATTTTATTCCCACAAAGAAGAGAAGCACATCCGGTCTGTACTGGGCTGCATATTGCATTAGAAAGTCAAAGTCGTTGGCAGGAAAATGTTTTCTCTAAATGTCCTACGCCGTCTACGGCCATGGGTCTCTCCTAACACCTTACGTAGTTTTCATGCCACGGCCGGACGGCATGGTGCGCCGTGTACGGTGTTTAGTTTGGCGATACTTGGCCACAAACCGGTACATGCTTTCAGTGCGTGCTCGATGCTGAGCATAAACAGCAAGGTATGTGTCTCTGGGTTGACTAAGTGTGTGTTTCAATTCGCGTACAGTGCAGATATCAGAATTACTTTTCACTCATTACATTTACGGAGATTAACACAGGCCAATTTATAATTTTTACGTTAATCACAGTCGGTACGATCCCTCTGGAATTGATTACCTATGACTGCAGGCATGGCCAAATGATCTCTAATATTATGATTCTCATAATATACTGTACTGGCTACATTTCCACAGAGCTACACCCCTTATATTTGACTTAAGAAAATCCCTGAACTGATTATTTGGAATAATATTATATATCTTCTGAAGACAACTCCGTATCAAGCTTTAATGACTAGCGTAATTTGTTTTTATTGTTTCTTTGTGTAGCTGCAGTCACAACAACCTTCAATACGTCTGCTTTGTACAAGAACAACAGACTCTGAGGATGGGAGCCTTATTTACAAAGGTAGCCTAGGCACAGCTGTCCGAGGTAAGCCATTATAACCATTATAAGAAAAAAAATGTTTTGCAGTTGTTATATTTTAAGGATATCCACTGCATTATTTATATACATTTCATTTTAATATGTATTATTTGTTAAGCAAATTCTAAAGGTGCACTAGATTGTTGATTTTTATTTATTTTTGCTTATTTTTTTATTGTGTGTGTAATATCTCTTTTGTCCTTTAAATATGATATAAACAGTTTCTCTGCTATTTGTCAGGGGTAAAGATGTTCTGTTACACCACAACTGGGGCCACCCTTACCTTAATGCCCTTCGTCATTCAGGAGACCGGACTGGGAATGGGATTCAAGAGCCTGGCAGCCCAGGTCATATTCTGTGGTGTTGTTGTTTTTTTTACCTTCCTCAACCCTGTTATTCTTCATTTCATCACTAAGGGATATGTTTCCCGCCTGTATCACAATCGAGACAAAGACACCTACACAGCTATCACTTATAGCATCTTCCTTACTGAAAAAAGAAACATGTTTCACCAGAGAGATGTGAAGGTCCCATCGGTCCACAAGATGTTCACCACCTTCTATGCAGGCACAATGGGTCTCTTAATAAACCCTGACAACTTCATCATTCCTGAAGACTACAATCATTTGATGGGCTATGACAAGCCCTTCACCTTTGACCCCGAAGACATGGACATGCCTAAAACAAGTTAACAGACATACCACATATGAATTGAATGTTTTATGAGCGCAGTAATGTCAAAACTGATACATTTTACACACATCTTGTGATAATCGTTCAAAATATTTTATGTTGAGTCTACTATGGAAATCATATATAAATAATAATTATCTATTACTTGTTATGCGTGTGTTAATGTATCATTGTCTTCAAACCTCAATGTTATTCACCAATATTACATCCAGCACTGGAGAGAACAATCGAAGATGGCACATTTACTACCCCTGCTGGATACCTTGTGTAACAAAAGTAAAGCGCATTTTGAAGCGCAGGCTGATGTAAGTTTAAAGAAAAAAAATTTGGCGAACACGGCTAATGTCAGCTGTTAAATAACATGGAAAAATTAAAAGCTTTCTTTGACAAGTTGATCCACATTTGCGTTTGTGGTTCTTTCCCCCCTGATGTTTGTGGAAAGAGATTCACATTGTTTTAAATATAAACCTAAATAAACGACTCAATATGAATACAACTTATTGGCTTTAGGTTAATTAATGACTGGAAATGTAGGGGTTACACGCTTTTTATATCAATAAATAAAAAAAGTTATTTAAAACTTTTTTGCAGGCATTTTAAGATGTGTCAGAATAAAGCTATTCACACACTTATTAAGTGATTTATCAAAGTCACATAATTTTGACTTTGATATTTATGGAACATTTAGTAATTTTATTTAAGTATAATTTGTTTGCGGTCCCCTGAAGTAGAAACCCGTAGCCAGGACTACAGTTTACACGAGAGACGCTACACAACATGACTACGGTGCAGAAAGATATGATTAAAGATGTGCTATACGAAGACGCGGAAAGTATAATGCTATGTCTACAAGGTAGAGTTGTAATGGAGAACGAAGAGGACAAGGATGTGTTTAATAAGAAGGATGAGTTTGGACGAAACGTCCTGATAACGGCCTCCATGTTGGGAAGGAGCGACATGGTCAGAGAACTAGTCCAACACGGAGCACAAGTCAATGAACAGAGTACCAGAGGTGAGTGAAGTACAAAAATATATTTGGTTATAACTTTTCACGGTTTGATGCGACATCAGACTCCGCCATCTTGTGACGGTTAGGTACGCAGTGTGTACAAATAAACGTAAGGCCGAGACATTTTTTTCGGGACAAAATAAAAATTAATACCCAGCAGAAATATCAATAGTGCCTGAATGACAATAATACATATTTATTTTAATAAGCAACTTATACTGACTATTTGAGATAAAAAAGCCACCTGCTAAACGACGCTAACTTTATTAGCGTCGTTAAATGCTAGGAAACAAAACATTCAATTGTTTTATTGTCAGAAGCATACGTTTTTTTAATTGGTTAGTGCATTATTACCAATGGTTAAAATAAGGACTAGCAAATACTTGATTCACAAATATAATTGTTTTAACCCTAAAGCACTAAAGTGAAAAAGAAAACGCTGTGGTGAGCCACTGACCCTAACACATTAATGTTATGTTAAGACTGTGAATGCCTCCTTGGTAAACAGGGTATTCATCACTCCACCTTGCTGCTTGCTGGGGACACTTGGAGACTGTAAAGACTCTAATTGAGCTGCAAGCTGACACACAAGTTGTGACCTTTAAAGGGGAGAGGCCTGTGGACCTGGCCAGGAGATACTCCAGGACAGATTGTGTAGACTGTCTCCTTCTAGCAGGTATGTCTGACTCATCTCAAGATTTTCTTTTGATAAACTCTACATCACAACAGTGCATAAAACTGAACATTTGTTAATCCTTTCTGGGCAGAAGCTAAACAAGACTTGATATCATTCATCACCTTCATCAAGGAAAGAATGTCAGATACTGATAAGAAACTCCCAAAGGATGAGAAGGTAACATATTTCCTCTTCACTTGTTGTTCTTGTTTTTCCTCATCTTTTGTTTTTCTACCTCAACTTTTTGTTGTTCTTTCTTCTTACTGTTGGAGTCATGGTTATTACATAGTTACCATAACCATTACAATAACAATTGTCCAGTTTTTATTAGAGTAAAATAATTCATCATCAGTCAAACAAACATCAATTATAGCTTTTACCTCTTTACTGCTACTACTACCACAAAAAGTAATCATAATAAATTCTCTTCCATGCAGACCCTCTGTACGCGAACATGTGCTGCCAAGTTAGATTGGATTCAGAAGTTCGAAAACCCAACGGTAGCGGACTTCTTAGCCCAGAAAAAAGAAATGGAGGAGATACTACAGCATATTCTTATTAAACTGACCACTTGATACCTGTCAGTATTTGTTGCTATAATTATAAATACTATTATTATGATGATTTGATTATGTTTTTCACTGATGAAGATAAAAGTAGAATTTGCACATGCAACTAAATATGGCTCCTGAGTGACCTGAAGGGAACTCCTTAATGATTCATAAAATTCTATGCATCTATCGTAGTAGTGTTTTCAAACAATGACATCAGAATGAATGATCCAGCTATTAATCAGTATTGTCAATCATGACCAATCGTACTCACACCCCTATTTCATCTTCTGACATTTTTTCTATTTATGTGTACCCCAATACCAGTTCCACACTTGCAGGTTAAAACTAACCTCACGTCATGTTTTACTCCATCTACTGTACTGCCAGTATTTTCCTATAATCAGCCTGATCACTCACACCTCCCTCCTGTTTTACCCTCCTGCTAGTGACTCTAACAATAAGCCTTAACACTCACACCTGTTTCCCTATGTGTATATTTAATTGTCTCTCCCTCACTTTGTCGTCACCTATGTGCCTTGTGTTTTGATTTTTGCTTTAGGTTGTTTTATTTTCACCCGTTTTGACCCCAGTTGACATTTTATGTTAACTGCATTTGGTCTTCACCTCCTGAGACCTGTAACATGTGGGACTTTACAAATGCATAAGCGCGTTTCTTTTAGTTGACACTAGGGGGCAGTGGAGTCCGCACATTGCAGGGCCGTAGTGCTATACATCTTTGGTTATTGATGTTGAGAAATCCCTGTACATGAAGACTAACCGTAGAAACTGCAGCTCACAATAGCTAAAACTTCTTGAATTAGCTTAGTCACATCACCCTGTGACGTGTTAAGAGTATTAATGTTGCCAATGCATGAAAAAATCTCTTTGAGATTGTTTATAACATAATTTTTAAATTATTATTCAGCAGTAGGATTATTTGTTATATATTTAATATTACATTGGGTGTCACCCTGGCACTGCAGTTAATACAGTTTGAATTGTTGGCACTCCTACATGGTCCTCCTGTGTAGAGTGTATTCTGCCGCTACAATAACTAAATAACTGTTTTTCCTCATATGAGAAGAATCCCACCCATTGACTAGAAAGTTAATACTATTATAAACTTTGCTGATATTCTTCTAGCACTATTACACATGATTCAGTCTTTTCAGCTATTAAAGGTGCTCGACAAGCTGTGAGAGGGCGTCAGTTCTATATTGCAAATGCATTTACAGCTGCCTGGTCCTCTGTCCCCTCCACCTGTCAGAAGACAAAGGTTACTAAGGTTCATCCTCTTGTTGACAGGACAGTGCTTTATTAACCACAACTTCCTCCCATCTAGTACACTATAACCTAAATGACATGTTTCAGTATGGTGTAAAAGATAACAGATTTTCACGTGTACTCTGTGTCACTAACATTTTAGGATCTGTAAACACATAGAAGATAAATACTTTCACATTAAAGCCATGCTGTGCATAGGGTTAAAGACAAAGAGATTGTGAAAACAGTGTTTTTGGTCTCATAAAGACATTAACCAAATAAACTGAGAAACCGTGAACATCATGTTTCATCAAATAATATTTTTTTAATTAAATATTCATATCTATAATGTATTAGTTTTACCTGCTTTATGACCAGATACCTCAGTTCAAGGACCTTCTCAAAGGAACATTGTGTTTCAACAGCTGCAGTTGTTCAGTTGTTTGTGAGTGCAACCAAACTTATAAAAGCAAACACAGACTTTGCTTTTTGTTTCTTACGTCGATCATAGAACATTGCTTTATGAATTTGCTGAAGGGGTTTAAGACATAAAAGTTAAACCTATTAGATATTTAAAAAAATAAGAATAATGATGCAGTTGATATGCAATGTGAGGAAGCGGGCCTAGTTTGTAACAGTAATTTTAGTAAACTAGTTGTATTACTGTAATAATATTGGTTTGTCCTGCCATGTTTTTTTAATTATTAATAGAATAATTTTGTTATTTAAATCCTAGGGTGTAGGTCATGTTTAAAATTAGAATTCAAACAAACAAAGTACAAAGTCAAATACTCCTGACTAGTTTTTTTTATTTTCCTTTTTTTGATGTCTTCGGCCTTATATCACATAATATTCCATAAAACCACAACCGTGGAACAGTTTGATTGTAGATATTTGTTACTTTAACCATACAGAATATGGACAGAATTTCTCTTGTTGTCCACACTGACTCAGTGTCACACTCTTAAATTTCTGCTGATACAGATGAACAGATTCATTGTCTAGAGGCTTTGTTTATTGTTCTCTAAGCAACAGTGCTGTTCCATGATTGTTGATACAAAAAGGCTCTTTGTATTGTGAACTGTTAACCCATGTTAAAAAAAAAATTGAAAATGTTAGTAAGTGGAATCTCAGTCTGCACATGAATGAAAAAACTTCTGGTCTGACTCTGATGAGTCGCGGCCTGTGTCACGACTGCTGTGAAGTCAGCTGCACTGCAGAGGTTACTGTGGGATAAGAAGGTTATTAAAGTTGAACCATGTCTATTTACCAGATAATGTTAAGTTCTTAGTCACTATAGATAGTATTAACACAGTTCACAGAACTGGGCGTTTACTTTTATTTATTTTTGCACCTGTCTGCTCTTCAATATTATCAGCTTATGTTTATGGTAAACTAATATAGTTTCTACTTGTCAGACAACGCTGCCTGCCAATGTTCCACTTACTTCTGCATTCTCTGAGAGAATAAGAATAGCTTCAGGGAGTTTGTCTAGACACCATACTGGTACTGTCGAATTAGCAGCAGTAAACGTTTTGAAGAAAATATTGTTTGTCTGGAGCTGGCAGATAAAATATGCAGCAGACAAATTTGACAGAAAACAATTAATTATGTTACTATTTTGTATAAAGGTTTGGGGTCTTTTTGCTGCCCTACAGTTTTAAAATGAAAAAATCTATCATTTAAATAAACAGAGAATTCTAGGAAGAGAAAAACTTCCTTGAATGTAGACATGTGTACGTCACATGTTAATGTGTTCAAACGTATTGATTCTTGAAGTATTTGTTTCATCAATGCACACACACACGCACACACACACACACAGGAGCTAAATCATTTAGATATAAAATCTCATTTATGTGCACAGAATGTCAAACAGTGTCAAAAAGAGGTTTTACTAATTAAATACTGAAGCTGATTAAGAAATATTGCCCAAATGTAGCCTTTGTATTGCGAAACCTATTGTTCTTATTTTTTTTTACTAAGAATATGCATTAATTGCTTTCTAATAATTATAATAATGATGATAAAGGAGCATGTCTGATATAAAGGCTTACTGGGCAACAAACTAGGTTTGACCTCGTTGACCAAGTCTGGGAGTAGTTTCTGCCAGAGAGAGCAAACTCCAAGGCCGACAGAAGCTCTATCTTTCACCAAGAGTTAAAGCTAAATCAGTTGGTGATATGATTACAGTCCAACATGTACTGATAAAGAAGAGTATGCGAAGGAGCTTCGTTCATTTTATAAGAATAAATGAGATGATCAGATACTGTCGACAACCCATATATATATTATCAGGAGCAGACTATCGGTAACTATTTTCAATCGAAAGTTAAGGTATTCAGTAATGCACATTTGTAAGAACACTTCATTTGTTGAATTTTCAAGCTGTTTATTTTGAAGTTGAGGCTGCATTGGTCCAGTCACATCATCAGTTATCACCACCGTGGTATAAAATACGATACACATAGCATCTGCGTTAACATTAACAAGTAGACAGTTGTCCTCAACTAGAACAATTGTTGAATTGTTGAATTGTTTTTAAATTGACTAATTAACACATTTCAGTCACTGTATTTCCAAAATCACTGCTGCTTTGCCTTGGACCATCAAAAGGGGAAAAAAAAGCGTTCTTCTATAGCAAATTAATACAAAAATGCAATTCCTTCTATTTACATATACCTAAATGCATCATCATATACACTATTAAATACATATACACTATGTACAATATAGTCACTGTGCTGGCCAAAGAATGCCTAATGCTGGGATTTCAGCTTGTACCTAAAGTCCACATCGTAGGTAGGCTGGAGGATTCCCAATCCTGCACGGGACTGGTCAAGGGGGGGGACTTTGACAGCAGGATCCAACAGTTCCATGTCAAAATAGGACAGCAGCAAAGTGAGGAACTGTTTAATCTCGTACATGGCAAAAAATCTGCCAGGGCATTTAGTAACACCAGAGCCGAACGGCATGCAGAAATAACGCAGGCGTCGTCCATTTCGATAAAAGGTTGTTTTCTCCTGACCGTTCTCATCAAGGAAACGGTCAAACTTGTACTCCTGCAGGATTAAGAAAGAGTGGGGTCTGTGAATGTTACAACAAATAAATAAGAGTTAAAAAATAGGACTAAATAAAACAAAAGATTCTCTTACATAGGGGTCCTGGAAGATTTCTGAGTCGTAGTGCAGCATAGGTGGATACAAAGCGATTACATCATCTTTCCTTATATGGTACGCTTCTTGGTTGTCAAGGTGAAGCAAAAAGTCTTCTTTCGCAACGCGCACATTCATGGATGCACTGGAAAGACGCAGGGCTTCACTGATGATGCTATCTGTAAAGAAAAACATTAAATGCTAAGTTGTGGTACTTTTTATGAAGTGCATTTTAAATTAAACCACAAGTAATGAACCTACATGAGGAGGCTTACCCATAACTGGCATGTTATCCAACTGATTCCTTGTCAGGTTTAGTGTAGGGTCATTGGGGTCAACTTTTAGTCTTGAGTCCTTCAAAACTTTGTTAACTTCCTTGTATGCTGCTTTTATGGCATCTGGGCTCCTGAGCATACATACAGAGGCCAATTAGCCACCAGAGTGTTACAAAATATTTTTGTGACAAATAAACATTTTAATTATTACATAAAAGAAATAAGAACTAATGAATAAAAAAATGTTTTACTATTTTAGAGGAATGACCAGTTCACATTTACTAATGTGACCAGTGCAACACTGGAGGGAGGGAGTTTCTAAGATATTGGGTTATGTGCAGCATACAGTCACAGCCCTTATTATGCAACTCTTTCAACAGTATCTTTACTACAGATTGTGAATAATTTACTCATGTCCACAGTCAGTTCTTAGAAAAACTGACAGGCCTCACATGTGACAACATAATCACAAATATACACGATGTAAACAGTGGTTCCCAAAGTGGGGGGCAGGCCCTTTAGGGGGCTACAAGGCTGTTGTATGGAAGTTGAAGTAAAATGAATTTGTTCGTTTTGAAGCAATGACTGTGAATCTCCATTGGAGATCTGGAGGCAATTTCAGAACAAGTCCTGAAAACATTTTTTAAAAAGATTGTAAAAGACAAATGTTTAGACTTACCTGATCATATAAAAGAGACTCCAGAAAGTTGCAGGCAGGGTGTTAGCCTGTGAGGCCCAAAGCAGAGCGACATGAGTTCTTGCCTTGCTCACGTCATTGAAGGTAGATAAGGAATCATTCAGGATTATCCTCATAGAGATCAGATCAGATAAATTATGCCTTTTGGACAAGTCTTCTGGATTCATGGTCTTTGCTAGGTTCTGTGAAAGCCAGAGGAATACAAAAATACAATGAGCGTCTTTTATGTGCAATGCGACTGTGATACAAACAGCAAAGAGCCAATGTGTCACGCAGGTCATGCAGCAACACTGACCTCTCTGGCGCTGTAAGCACTCTTGAAGACATGGATAGGCAGACCAGCAACTAATGCTGGAAAGATCTTGTCAAATTCCTTGAAGTTCTCCAAAGCATTGAGCACTAAGGCCTTCTGGGCCGCCAGTCGAGCCTGACACTTGTCATCACCAAGCTCTTTACCAAACAGTGTCAAATACCCTGCTTCAAACATCACCTGAAAGACAGCAATGTAGATGGACATCTGTAACAACTCCTGGAAATGTGGAATGCATCGTTAAGGAAATTGCAATTGCTCATAGCTATGGCTATACTAACTGTTGTAGGACTGTAGCCATGACAACAAACATTATTTGACAACATTTGATATCATTTTTGTTCAGCCTAACTGTGTGACTGGGGCACAGTGTCTGTTCTAATGTCTCTATTGCTTTTATCCATCGTCTAAAATCAATCTCATGTACTTACCTTGTAACAGAACGCAAAGATGCCATCCACTTGCCACTGGTTCTCCTTGGAGCTGAGCGTGTCTGGTCTTAGCATGACGTCCTGGAGATGCCCCGCTATGGTCTCTATCAGAGAGGGTAAGGCCTCACCCTGCAAGGTCTTCAGAAAGGTCTGGTGCAGGTTCTCGGTGGTGTGACCATGACGGGGATCAAAGCTATCATGACCAAAGGCCTGTTGTAGAAAGATAAGTTCTTCAGTAGTACTAATGAAGAACAAGTTGGTAAACTCAATGCACAGGTGACACTTCACAGTAGTCACACATGTATAACTGATCACATGACAAACTCTTGAATCGTAGTTTACGTATGACAATACACATTTACCTTGACAGATGTGGCAAAGTGGAACTTCCTCCAGTCCAGGTGTCTGCCCTGTCTGATGACTGAGTGGTAGGAGAAGGGATCACACAGAAAATGGATATACTGGCCTGCAATTTTGCAGGTGAAAATATGACCGTACTTCTTCTGCCGGCTGCGGAGGAACTGCAGGGGGTTGGCTCCGAATTGTAAGGCACAGCCCAGGTAAGGGATTAAGCCATTTTCAATCGCTGGTTCACCAGGTTGTCTGTACGGAGGTTGAGGAAATAGTACAGTAGTTACTAGAAATGCATGACTAATGTTTTTTAATGAGACTAATGAGTATTGTTCTTGGTACAGAGTACAGTAATTCTTTTTCTTTTATTTGCAGCAGGACTCACATCTATTCTTAAATCTCTGGGAAATCTTTTGGCCAGAGGTTTTAAAGTTTGAATAATGTCCTGTGCGGGACCATTTTTAAATGACTAACGCTGGTTTTTCCTCAGTATGTCATCAATATTTCAAACTTAAACTTTTCTTATATTCTTCTTGTCCTTTGCCAGGCAGACAACACAAAAGACCTAAACACACCGCTAGCTAAGCACATTCCTAGTCCACATGAGTACAACATCCTATTGAGAACAGCAACCCAGCACTGAAGAGAGAGCATGCCAGAACTATCATTTATGGAGCATACACAGTGTCATGTCACATTATACGTGACACAATTGCCACATGAATCATGCACATGTTTTGTTGCCTAGCTGGAAAATCTGTCACTCTTGATGTGGGTGTAGTCGACGAACACGAACCTGGTTGAGGTTATGTTAGTTATGTATGCAGGTCTAGAGGCAGCAGCTACGTTAATGTAAGCATTTGGACAAACTGTCTGGTATGTCTAGTCTCACCTGTGTCGTATTCCCACGGCGAGCCACAGTAGGCAGCAAAATCCAACAACTACGGCCCAGATCAGTGCGATGCTTATTATCATGGTGATGATATTGATGACGATGATGATGATGATCCAACTGAGCAGGAAACTGATCTCACAGCGATGGCAGTCAGAGGAGATGTGGGTACAACACCACTGTGTATTTCTGGAGACAGAGTGAATAGTGACAGCCTAACACTTGAAAGTTTTTAGGTGAGGTGTTGCATGTGTTAGTGCAGCCAAGTGCAATGACTGATGGCATGTGGGAGGTTTTTATGCCTGCTCTGTCCCTTAGGGTGGACCTAAGTTTTGTTTTTTTTTTCTTTTCTCGTTCTTCATTCGTTGAGCACAATATGGGAGCAGTATCACCCTATCACCACTGATGTCCTCCAAGATAACACTGTAATCTATGTGATTAAGAAAATTGGAAACAATTTCAGTATTTCCTGTGTCAAAAGTACTAAAAGTTTGAGCAAAAGTGCAACAGTTTAGGCACATATAAAATACAAATGCTTGTTTTTTTCTACTAAAGGCCACTGTCAACATTTGATCAAACATGAGACACTTTGTACAAAAGATCTACACCTGATGTAAGGGCTAACATTTAGAGAAGTGTGCAATCAACTGAACAACGGCAAACTTATTTGTAATTCATTTTTGTTCAACAAATATAAAAACAATTAAATAATTTCTCATCTTACACATTGAAACTTTGATATCTTTACAACCATGACTGTTAGATCTGTTAAAGGATTTCTCTAGGACTTCATGCATGCGTGTGTGTGTGTGAGTGTGTGCATTTGTGTTTGACAAGGAGAGGGAGGGAAATGGCCTTGACTAGAGTCCATAGACAGTCCTACCTGAAGGGCATTCAGGTTAGTAAACAGATTCAAGGTCTCTGCCGTGGTTTTGCTACATGTAAGTGTGTGTGTGTGTGTGTGTGTCTGAAACTGTGTGCATGCATATTCCTGATATAGCTAAACGTGTAAGGACTTGTTTTGAAAATACTAGTGTAGACCTTGTCTGTTTAGGTTGTCAGTCAAAATGTAAAGTCACGAGGTTAGAGGTGTGAATGGGGAGTGATGCCACAGCTATGGACCAATGGTGTCACCTGAGCAACATGTTTGGCTGGGTGTCCTTTCAAATGGAACTGTGGTCTTGTTTTTAGGGAGAGGGTTGAATTGTTTGGAAGGAGAACTCGTCCACCAGATCTCCAGTTTTCCGGAGGTCCCGGCAACATAAGGAATGACAATGTTGTTCCTTTTGTTACCATTCTCCTCTCTGTTTTTCTGGTTGGTTTTGGCGGCTTTGGACAAGGCCTAATTGGGGTAGCCGCAGGTCAGAACTGAAGTTGCCCTCGATGTAGCTATTTTTGAATAGCGTAGTCCTTGTGTATGTATCTTGAGCTGCAAGATAAATTTCGGAGTTAGGATTTGAATAAATATATATATAAATATATAAATAAGGAACCACCTACTGCAGCAGATCTGCAACAATTCCCCAGTTTGGGATCAGTCAAGTTTATAAAATAAACAAGTGGTTATTGTTAGAGTAAAAGGTTAGTAGGAAAGCATTAAGTTTATGTGGAGGGCTTACAAAACACAAAAGCCAGTAGGTGTGCGCACGTGCATGTGAGTATCTACGTGTGTGAGTGCCTAAAAGAGACTCACAGATAAGTTTGGAGTTAAAAATGAAGTAAAAGTAAAAGCATTGTTCATAATTCCAGTTAAGCATTAGTCAGAATTCAGAAGTATCTCACCTCTCTTTGGTGCCAGCGTTGTTTGAAGGCTTTCACTCTCTGCTGCAGAACTGTTCTTTCACAGATGACTCTGTACCAACCTACCGCTTCATTTAATTTACCATAAGTGCTTAATGATGAGGTTTACTTTTTTCTTGCTCCCACTTCTATTTTCTACTAGACTGGTTTCATTATTACCAAGGAAACACATATTTTATATGTGCATGGACATGATTGCAGCAGGTAAAATTTTTGGCTTTGGTTTGGAGGGCTGGTTTGTAGTTTGTTTTTTGATTGTGCAAGATGCGTTCTTAACTTGGTCTAACAGGTGATACAACTTTGGGTTTAACATGTTTTAAAGTGACAGGACAGGGCAGACAGACATACAGAGATGTTTTTGTCCAAAGCGACATAAAAGAGGAGGACTAACAATCACGCTACACAGAGGAACTCATGAAAGGAGACTGGTATGTGGGGACACAGGGTTTCCTGAGGGTGAGAGTGTTTACAAAGTGGTATTTGTGTAGCATCTTGTTATGAAAATGTGGGGCAGTAGGTTAGTAAGTACTTTCAGTTTATATACTAAATAAAAGTTCACCAACAAAAAATACACTACTCTTCTGAGTATAAACTCTGAGTGACTCTGTTTAGTGCCACTGACGGTCATTCAGCCTTTGCCACAATGAAGGAAAAAATTGTGTACAAAATACAAGTTGAAATAAAGTAAATTTATAGTTAGTTACAGTTAATTAAAGTTCATTTATATAAATAACAGAGTGTCATTTGCTGATTAATGGGAAACAAACCAAGTATAACATTAACATAAGGTTAATATTAGGTCACACTGAAGTAACCTTTAGGTACCCACCCACTTTTAGGTAACTTCTGGCTAAATGACTTTCTCTTTTCTCCCTCTCTCTGTCTCTCTCTCTCTCTCTTGTCCTCACTCTGTTTCTATCTGACTTACTCCAAATACCACATCTTTGTAGCCAAATTCTCAAAGTCCTCAACCAGTAAGTCACAAGCAATGCAGATTTATTCAGTGAGACATAAAATGTATTTAGGTTACAGACTACAATAAATGTATTTTAAACAAAAATAGAGAAAGGTTTGCAGTAATTGTCAGCAAGAGTAGAGCTGCAGGGTATTTTGAGATACTGGACTAGTTACCCCGAAGTACTAGTTTCTACTACTAGATTAAAAAAATACATCTTATAAAAGGAAAAAGGAAAAAAAACAAGTCATAGCAATTTTTAGCTTGTGTGTCTCGATTGCTAAATGCACATAAAAACACATTTATGATTTCTGTTTGATCATATTTAAGCATGAGTGTGAAAACACAGGTCTGAACAGTGTACTGTAGTATATTGTATACTACATATATTTATATAGTATATTGTACTATGGCACTACAAAGTTCAAGTGCTAAAATGACATGCTAATATCCTGGAAGTGTTGTCAGAATATTTCCAATGAATTTTGGTTTTTATTTGTGTTTTTGCTCACTGCTCAACTGTTGGTTGCACTGCCGTCTCCAGTGTGTGATACTGTTAATGTGGTAAGTCTGAGACTCTGGGGCTGTTGATACAATTTGCTACAATTACACGTACCATAGATCCACCTCATTGCTGCCCCACTCAGCTGCCTTAACCTGCAATTCTGAAGGTTATGAAACACAGATGTAGGTTAATAGTGAGAAAGGTCAAAGTTCAAGGGATGGAATCAACTGGATGATAGTCACTAAGTTACGGGACACAAACAATTCCCAATAATTACTGTTGAGCCTGTGTGACCTTGGAACTGCAGATAAAGTCGTTACACTGGAGCTTCAGTGAAATCTGCACAGTCTAACTCCATAGGTTTTCTGGATCTAAATTAACTGAACTGTCAGCCTCATACCTACGTAGACAGTTGTTGTAGAAAACCAGTCCCCAATGTTTCAAAAGTCATTAGTTTGTTTAATGCATTCTTTCTGTTTTGGTTGGAGGTGTTGAATGCCTTTAATGAAAAGAGACATCAAGGCAGTTTGCAAGACATGTCGAGCTTTGACAATGACAAAGTAGTGCAAGTCTCTCCCGCTCTCAAGTTTCTGCAGATTTTAGTTCACTGTTGATTTTGAGATAAAGTCCTTAGTTAGGTAATACAACAGGGAAAAATTAAAAAAGATTGCTTTAAAAAGTAATATCGGTAGGAGGAGAAGATAACTGCTGATTTGATGACCTTGAACATTAGGTTTTCATGTTACACACAGTTATGAATCTTATCTATGACAGTCTACCTACCAAAGATGTCAGAAACTCAGATTTATCTCCTTATCAACCGGACTCTTTTCTTGAATGGCCTTCGTATTGGTGTCTCTGCAGGTTATCAGCTGCTCTGTTGACCCTGAACACTGTTAGAGACACAGTTACCACAATTATAATCCTTATCTACTACAGGCTACCTCTCATTGATTCTTTTACTTTTTTTCTCTGTATATGTGTGTGTGTGTGCGCGCGTGTGAAACAGAGATAGAGAGAAGAAAACGATAAAACCACGTAGAACAGCTTGTCAGTAAAAACACCTTGAATGAACATTTATGTCACAGCAGCTGATCCGTATGTTTACATCCCTACGTCTTAAAACAACCACATGTAAATTGAACCAGCAACTAAATCATCACATAATCGGTCAAACAACTTGTTTGAAACCATTTTTTATTCACTGTTAAAAATATACAGCAGGGAAAATAGGCTTTTTTTTTTTCATCATTCACAGTTCATTTGGCTTATTATTTTATATTAATTCTGAAAAGATACAGAAACTGTATAGTGAAATACAAAGAGCCATGTATTTTTGTAAATCAACAAAGTTGGCACAAACGATGGAAAGAGACCAGGATGTTGAGTTTTAGTCTGTCATCTGTGTCGACTTACAGAGTACCCTGCACCACGTCAGAGGCTGAAAGGACATATGGCAGCTGAATTATTGTTAGTGGTCAGTTTTGTGGGTAGAGACAGTGTGGTTTAATGTTGACAAAAGTTTTGACAAATGAAGTGCAACTGGTACATTGGTAAATGTTAAAAAATAATGGAAATGTTTTGTTATTTATCTTGTAAACATCTGTGTAATATGTGATTTAGTCAGATTTTAGAAAATTGAAAGGTAATATTCTTAGTTCAATTCATCTGTTATTTATTTGCAGGAATCATTTTAAATCACACCTCATTCACCTCAGGAGCAGAGAGAGAGAAAACCACTTTCTCTGAAAGCGTCACATTTTTATTATTGTGTTCTTCACTGCAGGACACTGCCAATGAAAAACATGATACACCTTTTCTTCACGTACAACAAATGGCTTACCCACAAAGTAAACCTTGTGACATACGGTGGTTCCTGATGGCCAGGTCTTGCAGCAGTAGTTGTGCATCACCTATAAATACTTTCAAATGTTGACAATCCTTTTAAAAGTGGAAAAGTAATCTTTCATCCTGTTGTTGTCTAATCTGCAGCTGTTTCGTCCAATAACTGAATGTCTGGCATCCAGTCATCTAAATCAGCACAGTTAAATTCTGGCACTGCTGAATTCAGGCCTAAGGAACTGATTGACCCTGCCAAGGACCCAAGGCCTTCATAGGCATATGTCTGAAGTGAGTCATAAGGCGGGCCTCGTGTGTCAGAGTCCACCTCAGACACCTTGTGCTGGAGAATCTGCTGGATTACATCAAGATCCTCCAGCAGATGAGAAGGTGCTGATTGGCTAATCTCTTGTGGAGTGCAGTTGATGATAAACCAGGCTGGCTCTGACTCTGGGCTGTAGTTTCCATATTCCACATGGTCGGGTTTTTTTCTTCTTCTCATCACCACAAACCCCTCATCATTGAGTTCCACCTCCACCCCCTCCTCTTCCTCCTCATGTACGTTTGCTCCATGGTCGAGGTAGGTGTGATGCTGCCAACGAGGCTGCGATGCTTTAGGATTTCGGAGGGCAGCAATGTCAAAGGCCTCCGTGTCTGCTTCGCCACCTCCCTCATCGTCATATGTGACCACATTTTCTCTGATGTCCTCTTCTGACAGAATCAATGTCTCTTTTTGTGTTTTTTTATTTCGTAGTAGTGTGAACAAAAGTACTATGGCTAGAGGGGAAAAAGCAGAAGAAGAGTTGGCATCATGAACAGAGAACTACGACTTCCAGCTCCTCAGGTTCAGTTACGTCTTTACTTCTATTGTACCTTTGTTTCTCTTTCCTGGTGCGTCACACCCTATCCCTGTGTCCACACCTCACTCATCTACCTGTGTGTTACTTTTCATGCTGATCACCAAACCACCTCCACCTTGTTAACTCTTTTTAATTATATACTTTCCCCAAAATGTCCAGTTATGGTTGTTATTATAAGTAATTGTTCTCTATAGTAGTACTGTATTTTGTATTAGTATTTTATCTAACTTTAGAGTTAGATAAAACACATAGCTTCCTTAAAAAATAAAATAAATAAGTAAGTAAAAAATTGGGGCAGTGGTGGCTTAGTGGTTAAGGAAGCAGACTAGGGTCCTCCAGCTGCCAAGTTACCACTGAGGTGCTCTGAGCTTGGCACCATCCCCCCACACTGCTCCCCAGGCGAGTTGCTAAACTATTTTAATTGTTAAACTTGTAGTAACTGGATAAATACATGTTCAATTTACAGTATTTTTTATAAATGCTTACCTAATAGAATGAGAATGCACAACATTATGGCCACAAAGGCCCCAGTGCTGAGGCCAGCAGAGGACAAGAAGGCCTGGCTCTGACAGGTGTTGCTGCTGCGACCCCGGGGGTTCTTCTGACAATCACAAACTCTCAAGAAGAGTGTGGTGGTGCTGCTCAGCGAGGGCTCGCCACCATCTGCCACCACCATCACCAAATTAAAGAACTGGTCTCGATACTGGCCAAAGCCCTCAGGGCGACGGGATATGATACTGGCAGTACTGTCTGCAAAGAAAACAGTTATAGACTACATTAAGACACTGGGTTAGATGGATAAAGAAGGAACGGAGGGGAGGGATATATGCAGCAAATGTGTAATTATTAGACAGAGTGAGGTGCATTTGACAGGCTGTGGGTAAAGCTTTCATTTAGTCTGTTGGGTTTTGTTTTGATTAAGGTGAAATGTCTTACAGAGGGGAGGAGGGAGGAAAGGGGGAGTCCAGGGTAAGACGGGTCTCTAATGATGGAGCTGGGCTTCTGCCGAGGTCTGCCGAGGTAAGCTTGTATATTCTGTACAAGCTAACGTAAACAACAGCATTAACATTTGTCTGCACTTACTGGCAGGTAACCCCCCCCTTTAGCTAAAATGTCAGTGAGCCTCATTAGCGAGACTCCTTTCAACTCTCCTCAGTCCTGCATCTTTTTCTGGTCAACTCAGAAATCACTTGCAAAACACAGGAGGGACAAACGACAAAACAGAGACTGAGGAAAAAGAAAATACAAATTTTACAAAAATATATTTAGCTTTCATAGATTGCGCTGGGTGTGGCCACATAAAGGAAACCACTGAGGAATCACAGCTCAGATGATGTCAAACATCAAGACTTAATCAAGATATATAAAATAAAAAAGAAGAAGAAAAAATATATAAGGAGAATAAAATATAAATAATGAAAAACACAGGTGCTGAGTAACCAAGGCAACAGTGCAGTGATTTCTCTTAGACATTAAAGCAGATCGTAGTGAAAGGAGAGGAGGCAGACTTGTATACCTGTGACACTGTAGGTAAAGATGCAGCACACTGGGATAACTGTCAGCCAGTCTATAGTCTACAGGTTACAGCCCACAAAGAGATTCTACATTTTCTGGAATCATCAGTCCACATGTGAACTGCTTTGGTAAAAAAAAAACAAAAAACAGACTAATAATAAATCACGTCTGATCAATTTCCTACTAAAGTGACACCATGAGCGCATGATCTGAGAGGAAACAATGGTCAGAACCAAGAATAACATTTTACGTAACCCCAGTTCAACATCATTGTGCAATGTTGTCTGTAGGACATGTTGCTTAAGGCTGCTATAATTGCAACCTGTGTGTTGTATTAGTGACACATTAGTGATTAATCAGAAAATTTAGGGCGTGCAGGTTAAATGTGTGGGATTATGTTTGGACTAGGGTGGATGCATAGTTTTATTATTCAGTCATTCCCAGTAATTAATCTGTTTTAAATTAATATAAAACTTTAAAAACCTTATCAAACAAAAAACAACTTTTTTTCACAGCCAGGTTGTTTTTCACTTTCGCTGTGTTTGAAACCACATTGTCACAAAAGACCATATACTGTAACTATAGCAACAATATTTATGTTCTTTTCAAATAAAGTACATCTTTTTTTAGTAAAATCTTTAATTTTTTTAATTATCCAGTGTTCAGCCTAAAGGCTGAAGGCTTAATATGTCATCATGGAAACCTTACCTCCGTTGTCCTTCACCATAAAACTTGAATTGAACTGGTTCTCAGTAGGCACATAAAAGGAGAACTTCCCGTTTGCAAAGTTGTCCAGGTCTGCCGCTCGGATGGTCTGAACTACCTGAAAATACATAATGCAAATAAGCACTACTGTAAAGAAAGAGCCCACAACCTGAGCAGCTTGTCTCATCATTTTAGAAACAATTATGTGACTGTAGTAGGGTACTCAGTCGTGGCAGCAAACAAATTGATGAGCCTTATGAACCTTTCCTTCAGTGAAACTACACTGCTGCAGCGTTTCTGCTGCCTCAAACCAAACCTAATTATTACAATGCATGTTCAATCTCAGGTCTTCAGTGTTTGTTGGGTAATAGTGAGAGGCAGCAGCAAGTGGGGTTAAAAAAGCAAGTTCTGTATGTATAATAAATAAACGTGAGTGTATTATGACTGACATGCAGATAGTCTTTGCTCAAAACAGTTTTGTCATTTTCTTTTCTACACACACAGAGGGTGCTGAGAAGGCAGGCTAACATTTAGCCTTAATATAATAGCCTCAGCTGCTTTCTGGCTGAGTACAGAGCCATCAGTGTGCTTCACAGTTTGAATAATTTATGGGTCCAAGAAGCTGCATAGTCTGCAGCTCAGCTGATGAATCCCTCACTGATGGTGTCAGACACAGAGAAAGGCTACAGATCAACATAAGAGTACTGTGTGTGTGTGTGTGTGTGTTAAGTGCTTTACTTTGTTTTTGAGTTTAAGTGTTGGAGAGATAAGCACGTCTGGTTCTGATGGATATGTTTTCATTTGTTTGCAGTGACAATATGAGCAGCAACTCTGAGACTGACTACCAAGAAAAGAAAGCGTCACCACGAGCCTGCTTTAACCCTGAGGCTGTGTTTGAAGATTCTCTGGAACTGTAAAGTCACTCTAAGATTAAGGTAAATACTGGTGTTTCAATGAAGTATTCATTAAGTGTTCATTGTACTCCTACGAGGCAGAAAAACAAATGCACCATCCAAAACAGTGCATTAAGATTCAAAGCAAAATAAAACTTGTACATCAGCAGTTTTGAAACATTGTGTTTTACAAATGTTGTGCTTTGGGAGTGGAGCATCATCATGATAATGACAGAGCAACTGCACTGCAATGCTAATAACCTATAATTCATCTCTAGTAAAGAAATTGAAACTATTTATAAACCCGTTCACTTCACATCCTTATAATTATATTATAATAGTTCTGCTTAGATATACATATACATACCATAGAGATAATGTGGTATACTTAATGTACATGCAAATATATATCTATATATTTTTAACAATGGTATAATTGAAATATAATAAATAATAATTGAGTTTGCAATCAACAACAACACACATTAGCATCAAGCCTTGAGAAGCTGTAGAGCTAAAGCGTTAGTTTCGTACCTGTCCATTTTTGGTGCTTGAACACACTGTAACAGCACTGTTGCCTCCATAGATGAAGGGAATGTTGTCGTTGACATCCAGAACCTGAATCGTGACAATGACATGGCTCACCATATGTGGATTATCTGCAAATAATCATAACAGTTAGTTCTTAGATTCTTTGAGCTTACGTTCACTGTGGTGAGTTTCTATCTTTCAGTTCTATTTGAGAACAGTATTTACAGTTGTAAATCACTTGTTTTTGCTCTTATACACCCGACCACATGTACACCACTATGTTTCCTGCTTCACTGCCAGGGGTTTTTGTGTCTTTTTACATTTTGAGTTTTGGAGAAACAGTGGACGTAGGGCCTTGACGTTAGTCTAACCTACAACAGGGGTGCTGCAGAAAAAGTTTGGCAACTGCTGATTTAAACTATGACAGAATGTAAATATATGTTAATGGGGCACTTTTAGAAACGGATGCTATTTGTGAGCTACTGTCTTTATATGCAGTTATTAGTAACAGTGTGGTGTTTGCTGTGACAGTGAACTTACCGACTTCTGCAGCCGTCACTGTGATGTTATGCCACGACTTTTCCTCTCGGTCGAGGACCTTAGTCGTTCTGACAATGCCGCTGTTTACTCCAATTGTAAAATACAGGGGTCTGTCTTCATTGTTCAAGAAGTACCTGTGGTACAGAGCACAAGTGTTTATGACCACTGTTTTAGATGAATTTTGCAACTGCAAAGCATGTATTTCAAGACTTTGACATGCTCAAAACAGCAAATAAGCCAACGCAATGGTCTGTTATTCTTACCTTAAAGGGCTGTTGGTGCTATCTGGATCCATAGCTGTGACAGTGCCGACCTGGGTACCAACAGGTGAGTTCTCATACACATCCATTATGTAGTAATCCATAGAAAAGACAGGAGGCTCGTCCACATCTCCAACAATGACACGTAGCGATGTAAAATCTTTAAACGGTCCGAGGTGGAAGAAACGTGAGTCTATGTGAGTGTTGTAGCCTTCAATGTTGAGTGTGTGTACTTTCTTTTTCTCGTAGTTCAAAGGCTGTGGATAGAAAAAAAAATAATGTTCTGCTCTTTTGACCTCTATCTAACCTCAACATTACCTGTAAGAGGTGACTTTTTAGGCCAAAGGAAAAAGAGGAAAGATCGTGAAAAATGATTGAACAGAAACTATGATATTAAAGAAATACTTGATTTTTACTAGATATTGAGTGCATTACAGATTTGAAATGGATAATTACTAATATTTAATAGCTGGATAGTAAAATGTGTAATGCGCTATCTTTTAAAGTACATACAGTACGTGGTGCAGTAAAAGTATATCTGTAAATGATAAGTGATGTTTTCTGCCCCAGGAGTGCTCTGCCTTTTATGAATATAACGTTAATGCACAGAGGAGAGAAAGGCTTTTGTTTTAAATTATTTACAGAACTAATTTCATCTCTAAGGTTTCTGCTTTACATATATTAACCCTGCACCCTTAACTGTCAGCTTTGTTCTCTTGTGCCTCACAGCTGAGCTTTAACCACTAACCAGTAATCTTTCTGTCATCCTTGAATCCTTCAGGACAACGTCTGAGAATCTTATTGCACAGGCACTGGTGAAAGACTTGATGAAGGCACAGGCTGACTAAAGAGCTGTCATCCTATCTTGTCTGTTCCAGTTTGCCACGCAATCAGCACTGAAATGCTTGAATGAAACTTGAAATGCCAATGTTTGCAGCTGCATTATTATCTAACGTATCTAACTCTAACTGGGCGTTTAACTTGACGGGTCATCAAAACTAACTACACCCTTTATTCCCTCTCAACTAATGGCACTAATGGAAGGAAAGAACAGAGCATGTACAGCTTACACCAAAGGTCAATGGGCCAAACATTCTATTATACCCACACATAGTGACTCTTATGTTGTGTTTCCTACCTGCTTTAGAGAAATGATCCCCTCCCTGCCATCGTCATCTGTGGTTATGGCAAAGATGGCTGCTGCATCTGCATTCGTTATGCTGTAGGTCATTTCTGCATTCTGGCCTTCGTCTTCATCACTGGCTCTGATTCGACCCACTGTTTTCCCAACTGCAGCAAGCTCAGGTACATACAGCTGGTAACTCTCTGCAACAACAGTATTACAGTATTCAAAAGTATTATTTGTTAAATCTTGTTTCTGCTTAAGCTTTCTGGACAATAGTCTGTTTCAGCCAGTATTTCCTTGTATGTGCGCAATGTGAGATTGTAAAAAAAAAAAAACGTTTATCTGCACGTTGAACGTGATCAAACTGCGAGTTGTTAATCAGTGGTATGGTACAACTGGTTACCATTAGTTTCCCAGACAATTCCCCCATTTTGTACCATTATAGCTAAACTAAACCACTGTGGGGCCATTATGCACCTGCCCGTGTGGTTGATGTTTAAAAAGCCTGGGTTTGCAGCTACAAATTTCTGTGCTCAGTGGTGGATTGTTCTGTTTTCAGGACGACCCGTTCCGAATGCACAATTAAATCAGGGGAGTAGCTCCATGGGGACAAACTAATACCTGCCCCCTGCTGCCATTTGTAATAATAATAACAATAATACCAGAATGTTAATTGCCATTTAGGAAAACTACTGGCATTCCACTTGGAATGTGTGAAAATACTTTTAATGTGAAATAATGCCAAAGAAAGATGAACTGTGTACCAAACAAAAACCTTTAATAGTACTGCTAAGTATAAAAAAAGTGCAGTACTGTGTCCTCAGGGCAGACATTAATCTGACTCTAATAGTTGTACTTCAACAGTACAACTATAATATTTCCATGTTCCAAACCATTGGCTCATGCATGTTCAAAGATAAACACACACGACTTTACAACGTTACATAACTCACACATTGGAACATATTAAATATAACAGTATATAATTATTCAATTATACATAACTATTCAACTAAAGCTTTAATTTCTAAATTTATTCTTAAATTAAAGGGTTATGTACAGTACAATACATCCAATAATCAAATTGAAACAAAACCCAGTTTTCCACATGTTAATGCCATTGTGATTCACATCCCTGATGAGCAAACATAAATAATGTTCCACTGAGCACTTTATCACTGGTTGGTGATCCTTTCTACTGACGTAGCACTTTTAAATTATATTAAAATTTTTGCTGATAATGGTGCCAACCTCTTTTGCAGATACACCATGCTCAAGCCATAAAGCTGTTCAGGTGATTTAAGGTAACTCATAATCGCAGAGGAAATTAAAAAAGTATGTGCAGTAATACAAGGTCACCATCCTTATAAAAGAGGCACAAAATACTACTGTCACCTCTGGTTTGATCTCCAGGCCTTCAACTTTCAACACATCAGTTTTATCACTAAAGAACTCGCGAACACTTCAGCAGTTTGATTGCAGTCATCTGACAGAATTATACAGATTTACACATTATGATGTCATTTCCTGTTTATACCTCAGGACAAGACAAGCACCTGCCTGCACTGCTGCTAGGATTTTCATCCCTGATCTAAGGTAAGAGAGGACAATGAAACTTTTACATAAAAGAAATAGAGTTCATGTATTGTTTTAAGTTTTGAATGTAAGGTAATAAACTGAGAAATTCAGTTAAGAACAACAGTCACTCACTCTGTGTGAACTTGGGAGGATTGTCATTGACATCAGTAATATTGATGTTAACAGTAGTGGATCCAGACAGTCCTCCCACAGAGCCAGCCATGTCTTTGGCCTGGATCACTACGGCATAATGATCCCTGGTCTCACGATCCAAGTTAGACACGGCTGTACGGATGACACCTAAGGTGAACGGGGGACAAACAACAGAGGTTGTTTCTAATCAAGTCTTCAAGTGCACAGTATTGTTTAATTAGGTTGTGTTTCAAACAGAAAAATGTATTTTCCCTGTTATAGGTAGCTCTGCTCGAACCACGTATAACTAAAATATAGCAATAAATATTGTATAAGTAGTAATAGTTTAAGTTCTTATATTATAAAAAGTTTTAATTAGATTTAATTAATTTAATTAAATTGAAACAGTATTATATTTGGTTTTTAGCATTATTATTAAAAAGGTACAATTTCAGAACCAGTATTATATGCTTAAGTTTATTACTAAAAACATTTTAGGCCATATGTTTAACTGTATTCCTTTTTGAGTGGATAATGTGTATAATTACTGATGACCTTGGAGATACTGTATATATTCCCTTGTATTTTAGCTGGAGCTGTAAAGGGAGTTTTTTTTAAAGAATAGAAACAGATGGAATAGTTGATATAATCCTGAAAAAAACCATCAAGAACATTTACACATTAGGAAGGAGAAAAGTGGCATACACACACGCATAGAAATACACACAAACACACACACACACACACTTTTCTCCCACATGAGTTGAAGGGAGTGTTGAGCCTGGGGGCTCTGCTCCACTGCATTACTCGCTTCACAGGATTACAAAGCAGAGAGCCATCTGGCCTTATTAGACTGACCGCAGAGACACAGAGCAGCCAGCACACATTATGCACCTGTACCACAAAAAGTGACCAGAAGAGAGGCACGTGTCTGGACCAGGGGTGAGTGAGTGAGTGATTGAGGGGAGTTGAAAAATTAAAAATTTAATGGATGTTGACCTCAATTTTCTTATGCACCTATTAAAAAACAATCTAATACTTAGTTCATGCTACAGCTGAACCTCAGTATTTTCCATTTCACAGTACTGCTGTTCTTCTTCTAAGAAACCATGTTTGGAATAAGCAGAAAGAAGCAGGTGCTCCTAAAAACATCTGAGTGATGAATTAAAAACCCTTTACTCCACCTGCTCCCTCACCAAAAAGTTGAATAAGAAGTGGAGCAGATGGAGACTGTCCAAGTATTTAAAGTTCCAACTGTGCCGCTGATTTAGCTCCAGTGTACACTGACAAATGTGTTCAATATGGTTTTTTCAGGCATTTACTCGAACTTTCCATTTTAAACTTTCCCTGGGTGGCTGTTAAATTAAACACAACAGTTTTACCTGTCTTGGCGTCGACAGAAAAATAGGGCTCTCCTTCCAGGATGCTGTAAAGTATTTTGGCACTGTTACCGTAGCTTGGGTCATCTGCATCAGAGGCCGTTATGTGGAAAGCTGATGTTCCTGCAAAGGCGTAAAGAAAAACACAAATTGATGATGTGTGATTTGCACTGACCATTTAAACTGAGTTTCATATCATTCAGAAGTGTATCTAACAAGGGAAACCTCACTGAGAATAAAAGTCTGTTTTACAAGAGTGTCCTAGTTCAGTAGAAGATGGTTCCAACCAAGTTAAGGATGTGGAATCATCCTAGAACCGTTTTAAAAACATTACACAGCAACAGTCGAATAAATTTAATTATTCCCTTATATACTTTCCTTTTTTTATTTTAAATTAATAGTGATGCACGTATCTTTGGGGCAGCTTCTCACAGGGTTTGCAGTGGTCACATGTACACAGAAAAAGTAAATCTGCCTCTAAAATGTTCCTGTCTTACCAACGTCACACATCTCAGGAACTGAGGCAGAGTAGGGTCCTCCAGGAAAGGTCGGGGCATTGTCATTGACATCCTGGACTTTGATAATGAACTCTGACTCTGCTTCCAGTGACCGGTTTGTGCGGCGCTCGATGACCCTCGCACGTAAGACGTACTGGGACTTCTTCTCACGGTCCAGTCTCTTGGCAGCATGAAGGTCACCTGTTGTCTCATCAATGATGAAAACGGAGCCTGCCCCCTCACCGGACAAGATGTATCGCACAGAGCCATCACCCTTGTCAGAGTTGGACTGGAGCTAGAGGTGTGTGTTGGGGGAAACAGTAAAGGTCACAGTGAGTGGCCCATGTAGGAAAGAGGAGAAGGGATGCTGTAGGATTGGAGTGTGATCAGCTGCACAAATGAAGTGAATTTGTGAGAAGCTATTTGTAAGATGTTACTAATAACATAAACAAATCTCTTAGAGCTGATAGTTTGACTGTCTGTCACACGGCTTCTAACTATGAATCTGCTTTGTTTGTGTCCTTGAAAGTAAACTGGATTGCCACAAGAAAACGGACACAGAAACAACATCTAAGGTAAGTCTGTATTGCACTGAAGGTGTGACAAAGCAAACGAGCCAGTATAAAATAAAAAATGTCAGACAACTATAATCAATCGGAGAAGGCCATAATAACGCAGCAGTGTGATAAGGAATGAGCACTTTTATGTGACAGTGAAATCTGCAGCACTATATTCATGGGGCTCAACATGAAGGCAGTTTAAAAACAAAGAATGTACGTCTCCTTGGCCCAAGAAACAATATCTGTCAAACTAAGAGAACTAAGGCTTGCAAGGATGTGCGAGGGAGGAAGATTCGCAGTCTGGGAAGGCGACATGTTTATTAATTTAAACTGGTTAATTCACTTACTGTGGGGGATATATACGCAGCGCTACACAACAAGCTTCATCAGTATCCTACAGAGGTGGAACACGATGATGAGGTATCATTATATTTAGATTGATTTATTTACTTTTTATGACATCAGAGCATCCAAGGCGGTAAAACACAGGACAGTGAGGTCGCTCCATTGTAACTGTATGGATTTACCGTGCACCTCATAACTAGACTGTAGTGTATACTATAGTCACTCATACTATAGTGTGCTGTAGTGCAGGGACCTGACAGCAAGTGGAGGCATCACAGCAGTTTGTGGCCTATTAAAATCCTTGTCTCAAAGCAGGACTTTCCAAGAGAACATTAGTCATAGTGTGCTGCACAGTCTTCCATAGTCCAGAGACGGCACGTTGTGGTGCAGGCAGCAAAGTGAAGTGGAGATTCTCCCTGAGAGAACTTTTTACAAAAGTGCTTAACACAAAACCACTATCTATTAAAACCGGCTGCTGCGTTGAGAGTTTATACAGAGATAAGACAGGTTTGTGTTGACAGTACACAGTATTCTGATACATAAATTACAAATATTTATCCACTGAATACCCACACAGTGTACAGTATACTTTAGTTGAATGACTTTTTTAATTAAAATAGTGGAATTATGAGATATGAGCTTTTTTTTTATATCATCAGAGCTTTAAAAGTTAAATACTTTTTTCTGTGTAATCCCACAAAGCTGGCAATAATAATAAAAAATGAAACTGCAAGAAATATACATGTATTCAGAAGCTGCTACTGTGAGTGGGTTTAAATTATTCAACTCTTCATCATCAGCCCTCACTTCAGTGTAATTGTCCTGGGAGTTAGAACACTTATCCACTTATAGATACTGCAGAAGTCATAGACCTTTTTGACAGCTGTGTAAGCACAATTCTTTAATTTACATATACAATACCCCTGTGTAGGACTGTGTAGGGATATAATTGTTACAGTCAAAGCAGCTGTGAATCATCTTTCATTGTGATTGCGTTCACTGAAGGATTAGTGATGAGGAAGAGTCAATTTTAGTTCTCTTGTTGGCGTTTGTACTCAGTTTTACTAAAATATTTACCTTGCAGTCTTTTCCATTCTAATTAGAATGACTGCAGTGATTTGAAGCTAAATATCATTCCAGTGGCACAGTGGACTATCTCTTGTCGCATCTTTTTGAATACCATTAAGTCCTCAAAATATCATACATTTTATCGCTTTGGCACGATGTCATTGCTATCTAAATGTCACATATTTCTGTATTTTTTAATACATTGGTATGTAAAGTTATGCCTTCATCTTTTGCTCTCTGCATTTTTCATGACAGAAGATTTAGTGGAGATTTTAGCAGCAACTTTCAATTTAGAAGAAAACTGTATTTTAAAATGTGCTAGACAAGTTTTTTTAATGGAGCCCAAAGAAAGGTTGATGAGTGTAGACATTTTTTCCTTTTTTTTTTTTGCTGAGAAACACCAACAGGCACTTATCCAGCCTGCACTCCTGTCAGGGTGGTGTAATTGGACACAAATTTATTCTGCAGCAGTACAAAAACAACAGGAAATACACAGTATGTCCTGCAGTATTTTTAGTAGCAAAAAGAACAACATCAAAAAAAAAAAAGAATCTACTTAATATCTTAACCTGTAAACAGAGCCATTCCACATGGAATTTTCTTTTCATCAGCCTTGAAAATAGAAAAAGGATAATAGTTGATGTACTATTACTGTCCTATGCTCTCAACTCCATATAACGTCTACCGGAACTTTCTCCAGACCATTGTTTTCAATGACGAACTCATACATGTAATTATACAGGTGGATTAATGGTTGATGGACGAGTTACCGCAAACAACTCTAATGAGCTTGTGGTATTTAGTTAAGTGTGGAAGGTTATTTTATTTAATGTCTGGAGTTTTTGTACATATATATCCATATAAGAAATCTTCATTTTTTAAAATATGTTAACACCGGTCAAATGCATTTAGGGAAACTAAAAAAATCTTACCTTCCCTACGTACTGAGGTTCAGGTCCGATTTGTTCTTCCAGAACAAAAAATTGGTTTCGGATCCAGCCTCTTTTGGGTCGCTGCTGAGAACCCCTCTCTTCTCTTGTCGATGTTCTACTTAGGTTGGCTTGGTCTGGCTTGGTATTTACGTTTGTTTTAGAAGTGAAATGAAGTTTTGCGTGAGGGTTGGGCTTGGTTAGTGGAGCGGGATAGTGCTGTTGGCCGGGGTTCATGTTAACAAACGTGTTGTGTTTTTCATCTGGATTATACTTTGACTCTGAACTTTTCTCAGACTCTGGTAGTTCTTCGGAGCTGGTCTTTGGTTTCAGCTGAGATCCTTGTCTTGGTTCTGGAGTATCGTCATTATTCAGAGAGATTTTTGTTTCCTGTGGTGCAGACAATTTGTAAGACAAAACTTGTCTTAAGCTAGAACTGTCTTTGGTTGATCTTGATATTTCTTGGTGAGTCGCTGATGGACCTCTGGGTTTGTTGGCCATGTGGTTTTCAACAGGATGAAACACACTCTCCAGTGATTGGAATTTGTTCCCAATGTTTTGACTAGAGTTCAAATGTTGGCTTGGCAGCAGGTGAATCGTCTGTTTGTCCAGACTTTGACTTGGGATTGTTGTTGGTTCTGACAGCAGTCTTCTGTTAGGGTACCAACTAGGAACAGAGTTGGTGTTAATCTGTATCCCATAACAACCCTTGGATATGAGACATAGAAAGACCCCCAGAGGACAAAGACAGAAGACTACTGCCAAACCAGCGGGAACATTCATTGTAAAGAATGTCTCTCTCTCACCTCCACTGTGTTGTACAACAATGGGCATAAATATATTGTCCAACAAGTTTAGTAGTTCTGTTCAAAATGCAGAAATAAAACATTTTGTTGGGAAGAATTTCCATATGAATCCCTCAGAAAAATAAGCAAAAATGAATTCCTTAATCAGGGTCCATAAACTTGTTGATGATGTCAGAATCGGATCTTTCTTTATGTGATCATTATCTTCTATCCATTATTGTTCCCACAGGAAGTCAATTCAGCACGATAAAATCCAGACAAGTAGGAAACGGACGTTTTTACTTTGGAGCGTAACGTTCCATGGCATTTATTTTTCCATAACACACCCTCTGCTGAGGCCAACATTTTAAGGTATTTTCATGTCTAAAGAAAGAGCTTGTCACTGACTTATCTTTCTAGTTGATTGTTTTCCTCATCTCAGGTTTAGAGATTTCTGAAAGAGAAAGAGACATAATCAATTATCATTGGTGCCACACCATTCCTCAAGAAGGACAGTAGATCCCTCCTTGTTGTCAAACTACAGCCTTTATATTATCAATCACACAGTAATTTTATTCTGAGAATGGATGCATCAAACAGCCATGGCAAAAAATAGGTACCAGAATTTCAGTTGTTGTCACAGCATTTTAAAAGTGTACCAGAAATTACTGGTGAAAAAACATGTTCAATCTTTAGAATGAAGTAAATAAAAATCCACATGTTTTTTTCTTTTTTTTCTTATAAATCCCATCTATATAAATAACTAAAAAAGGATCAAACACATATGCTGTTAAAAAATAATCACATATGATGTACATACACATTTGAATCCAGCAATATTTAATACTGACAGTAAAGAAACACAATATGTGAAGTTTGACGGTAGAACAATGAATAACCTACTGTTTACAACAATAATAATAAAATTGTATTAGTAAGATAAATAACCAACTGAACAGTCTTTTACCAAAAAACTACAGCTGCAGCTATAAAATATATGGAGTTTAAGTTAAATATAATTGAAGTGATTATCAATTATTTAACGTAATAAAGAAACTTGTGCAGTGTAACCATGAAGTAGAACTAAAGGGTAAAAATGGGCTCAATTTTGTTTGGATTTCTCAGTATGTATCAAACTAATTATCTACAGATTACGATCCAGAGTTCTTAATTATGTTAGTAATTACACAGGAATACACAGTGGACCTCTAAAACAGAACCAAAGTCACTGACTGGAATGGTAGTGACATTGTGACATTTTCACTGACATTATTCTTTTTTATTATTATTATTATCATTATAAGAACATATTTATACCAGGACAGTTATGAACTGCAGGACTGTCATCAGTGATGCCAGCCTATA